AAACTTTCAGGCTTTAGTTTTCCTTTTAGTCTTCAGTTTTCCTAGCCATTTAGGCATTATGCATTCAACTTCTCAGGGTCCTTCTTTTTAGATATTTAGTTACTTTTATTTTTCTATTTGAATTTTTTTTAGTAATAAGATTTTGTTTTCCGAGGACAGCCTGACTGATCTGGCACACATATGACCCAAGCTTACTCAAAATTGAATTAAATTCCATCAGTATGTAGATTGAAGAACAATGATAAAGAGGGAAGATCTAGAGAGACGCAAAAAAGAAGACCTTGGAGTTGGTCTTCCATCTGAGCCAGCTCCATCGATGTTAAAGATATGGCCTCCTCTAGACTGTGTTTGCATCATATTTATTGCCTATAACAACCCTGTATTAGAACTTAGCTTAAAATTGTAAGAAAATTAGCTTAAAGGATATCTTCTGCCAGTAACACCTCTGGGTAGTCAGATGGTAAATACCTCTCGGCAGCATATCATCAAACCAAGGGTATTTGTAGATACAACTTCACTGCATACAAAAATCGGACTACACATACATAAATCATAACACATAACAAGATGAGAAAGGAAACTCGCAAAAGAACTCACATTAGATCTTCATCAGATGCCTCCATCAATGGTTTGTAACAATATGCATTCGATCCTGCATTATTTATCTGCATCATTCTCAGATGGGGTAAGAGAGAGAGAGAGAGAGAAAAAAAAAAAAAGNGAGAGAAAAAAAAAAAAAAAGTTAAAGATGGACCTAAAAATTTGTGACATACCACTAAAAATGTAAAGCATGCACACACATACAAAAGCACAGAGAAAGAGAGAGTTAATTTGAAATGCAATCGACAGCCAAACATTGCACTGGAAATGGTATATTACGAAAAGGTTGCTTGTGTGAAAATGGCGTACCCATATGTCAATGTATTTAAGTTGATATTGTGCAAAGGAAACTAAATTCTTGACGCCATCCCCTTCTCGAACATCGCACTTGATACCCTGAATAAACAAGTTCATATACGGCCACAATTATGGCATCCATACACATTCATAAGACGATTGTCACCACTTCATATGAGTTTACATCAGTGTGTATGTGTGTGTGTTATACACACAAGATCATGTTATAACTTGATATATGGAAAAAAAAATCCAAATCTAATTTGCAACAGGAGGCTTCTTATTCACTGTTATTGCATCATATCCTTTAGCATATATTCACATGGTCACTCACACAGCAGCAGAAAATGTAAAGCGCAGTGAAGTTGTGAAGTGGGTACCCACACATGCTGCTTCCCCGTCTCAACCTGTAAGCTTTCAGTAGCAGATTTCACTCGTTCGTCTGTCAAGTCAGAAGTAAGTTGGAATGTTAAAGTGGTGTTTTTATCATAAGCAAAGGAATGGAAAAAAAAATGATGGGGAAAAACAAACACAGCTTCTGCAAGAAAAAAGTATCCAAGGGGAGGTTTGGAGAAACGAAACATCTCACTCAAGTAGACAGGATAAATCGTATTTGTTATCAGTTAAAAATGAACTGACAAGTGATATGTTCAGAACATAGCGGTAACCATATATTTCGAAATAGTACTCTTCCAGTATCTACTTTAGTTGAATATTGAATGTTAGTGACTCTCACTGCATTAGGCAAAATGCAAGCACAAGTTGGGCCACCAGTTTTACAGGTCATTTACAGTAGAAATTTAATTGTGAAGCCTAAATGACGATTAACAAACAATAATCTTCAGACAGGGAAATGTAATAAACTAAATGTAGGAAGATATGGCATAAGATCGTTAACATAACAACAGTATGGTATAAATAAATCACTTACCTGATCTAGAACATATGATGACATTGTCTCCAGCTTTGAGAAACTCTTTTGCTAATGCATATCCTATTCCTGTAATAAAAGGTTTGAAAAAAATTTAGAATTACACTTTTGCTAATGCATATCCTATTACTCTACAGAGTGTTATGTACACCTCTATGTAGAGAATTATGCTAGCATTTCTCAAAAAGTTTCAGAATAGTCCATCCCAAATAGAAGAGGGTTAAGGGATTACACGCTAGCATGAGTGAAACTGACAATTTTGCTAATTTATGATAGTTCAAGGTCAAATGTGCAAACAGGTAAAGACACCACTTTAGGTTCCCAAAATCAGTTTTTTCAGCTAAAGCAAAAGGACGGCGAATCCGATTAATTCTGAATGGCATGTTATATGCTTGAAAAAAGTATGTAGTTTGATTCTGTGTGATTAAGAAATGCCTTGAGCAGTAACAAACGCCCATCAAACACAAAACCAACAAGCTAGGAGCAGTGATATGAAGCATAAACAATTAAACACGCAGTAGAAAAAAAAGTAATCAATAAAACTTCATACTTTCAAATTTTTTTTGAAAAAAGTAAGAACCAACCTTTACTTGAACCAGTTATCAAAACATTGTAAGGTGGAACCATCGGCTCGGTGTTTTTGGAAACAGAAGAAGAAGCGGATAAAGAAGAAAAAGCCCTTAATGGGTAAAAGGATTTTCGAGCACTTGAGTTACAGCTAATGGGCACTCTGTTTAGCGCGCAGTAAAATGACGAATGGGTGAAGCTGTTGAATTTTGGATTTGGTTGCGTGTGAAGTGAAAAGAAAGGGACGGAGAACGTTGAGGACTCCACTGTTGTCATCATCGTGGTGGAGGTGAACAATAACTGGTTTGAGTCTTGGCTGGGCCTCTACAAAATCAAGCCTTTGGTGCAGAGTACTGATTACACAGGTGATGCTAATTGCTAAGGATACAGATTTTTGCAAATATACCCACTACTTTTGGAAATTAAAAAAAAATACCCTTGTTTGTTGAAAGGAGTAATGAGTAAATGAGTAATGAGTAACGATATTGGCTCATCATTTTCCACAAAAATTTTTAGGAATTTAACAACTTTTTCTTTCTAGCTTATTTACTCAAAAAAGTTAAAATTAAAACGCTGCATGTTGAAGCATTTTTGTTTGGAGCATTTAAATGTAGTAAGATATTGTGTTGTCATACATCGAAAATAAAAGTTGTCTATATACTATTGTTTGATTGTATTTGTCATTCATTTCAACTTGCATTGTTTGTTCACATCTTATCAAAATTACATATTAATGTTTTTTAGTTGTCTATATACTATTGTTTGATTGTATTTGTCATTCATTTCAACTTGCATTGTTTGTTCACATCTTATCAAAATTACATATTAATGTTTTTTACTTTGAATGGTGTACCCACATCTTCACTCATTGATGAGTGGTGTATCTATTTATTTGAATAATATCAACTTGCAATACGAAATACCGTATATAAATTAAGTTGTTTGTTGTGATGTATCTTATGTTTGGATTGCAATTTCTAAACAAGGTTGTGTCTTTGTTTGCTAATATTCAAAAGTTAGAGTTAAAATTGCCAAAATGTCTAATGTTGTGATATTACTGTCAGTGACACCAAAAAATAATCAAATGGCATAGCTGCTAATTTTTAAGTGATATAAATGACCAACCTTTATTGCAATGCCCTAGCCATTAGCCATCCGAAAGTTTGACTAAATAATATCCATTCTCTTGGCCTATGACATCGAGTAATTGTTTCAATATTAACCAAAACCCATATACATGTGGGCAAATCCAAACAACAAATAGATTAACAACACAATATATTCTGAGAGTAAACAAGGCTTCTAACTTCTAAAGTGATCTCAAGAACAAAACTTTTGCTGTCTTCAAGGGAAATATCCATATCTACACATGAGGAAAATGTGGATTACATGACTCTCGCTCGTTTTGCCAAAGTCAACCAAGCAAGTCAACCCTTAATGAGCATTCCGTTTCGACCTCCTCCGCCTTCCAAGAAGTTTGAGCATGTTGTCCGTGACATCTGGCGTTGTATTGTCATCTTCATGCTGAGTATTCTCAGAAGTATGAGTCAACCAGGCCAGAGCCTCTATAGCCGCATCTTTCTCAGCCAGGGCCTTATTTTTCTTCGGCTTCCCCACAAACTGCATGCCCTTAAACTCCACCAAAGCCCTAAACTCGTTTGTCTTGAGGTGCTTTGTTTTGTACTTAGGTGGGGAATGGCCGGCTCTCATCAACAGGGTCTGGAGCAAGCTCTTCGGGTTTGTACCGTCTTTCGTGAATCGGTCCTTTTTGTCCCCGGGCTCCCTCTGTTTCTTGCTTTCGCGGCCGAAAACAAATCTGCCTTCACATTGGTCCCCCGAGACAAGTTCTTGAACGGCAAGCATGATGTACTTGCCTTCCTTGTGGATGTCGATGCTTGGATATTGAAGCTGCATTTTTTTCCCAATTTTTAAGTAAGGCGCAGTTAAGACATTTGGGGCGTATTGGTAACATATCAAAGCCGATTTTGATTGGATCCTGAGTTAAAGTGAATTAATTTTAAATAAAGTTGATTGAGTGGAGGATTGAGTGGGATTTTGATTTTGTATTTAAATAATGATTAAAACTAATGTGATGTAAAAGTATGATAGAGATGATTGGAAATGATAAGTAGTTAAAAACATGCGAGTGGATTAATAGTGAATTAAAGTTGATGTGATGTGTGAGGATGATTGATTGGTATTATTTAATTATATTGATAATATTGAGGAGAGTTGGATGAGTACAAAAATTATGTAATCGGTCAAAATTGGTTTTGATCAGTTACCAATCGCTACCTTGGTGATTAGCCACAATCCAAAACCAAAAGAGAAATATTTTTTCAATTTGTGGTTAATAGAGGCTATGGTTCGCACGAAACGCAATCCAAGAAAAAAGTGAGTATCTAAAGAAATATGCAAAATGTACAAGGGATTAGCAAATTTACCTTCTTTTGCAAGTGCTTTTCCAGTGAGTTACTAAAGAAATATGAAGAATGTAAAAGGGATTATCAAAATTTACCTTCTTTTGCAAGAGCTTTTCTAGCTCCTCCTTAAGTTTCACGTAGCACTCGGCCAAACTTGGATTCATGAAGAATTCGATGTATCCTTCCAACATTTTCAAATGTCCTGCCTGAGAAAATCAAAGTGAAAATTAAAAAATTTGTGATATTGAATGGGGAAGACACAGGAATTTGGATATTGTCTTGGTAAAGGAATTACCATGGTATTGTCTTCGAGTTTACCACCAAAGAGGATCAAAATAGAATCAGATACTCCTGTTGAATCGCGTATGAACACGGTATTTACTTTCACCTTCTCACCGAAAACCAACCACGGGTAATGTATTGTTTGGTAACGCGCATTCACAGAATTCTGGACCAAGATCATTTTGAAAACAGGCTTGTCAATATGACTATCATAAATAGAAGTCATAAATAGAACCTCAGGGAAAAAGTAAAAATCATTTAGAGAGAGAGAGAGAGAGAGAAAACAAAACATCAAAATTGCAATTGCTCAATACTTGGGCAGAAATTTCAACTTTTTTTTTTCTTTTTTTTAATGCATTTAAAAAATGGCCTACAGTTCAATAGCCATGCAGTTGAAACTTCTAGTAAAGTTTTAACATTACTTGATACCAGGATAAGCATTAGAAGCATACCGCATAGAGTAAAACCTGCCCATCATCCATAGTTTTGAACGACATTGATGTCTCCCTGTGCTGCAGATAAAGTAAACATCAGGCCTTTCTCATTTAGCAACTTCAGCAAAACATTAAAAAATAAAATAATAATTAAAAAAAAAATTACAAGTAAGACTCACCAATACAGATGCAATACCGGGAAAAAGACCAGAACAGATAACCGCACGAACCAACGGCTGGTTGTGACTTAATTTATTATTAGCTGCTCCATCTTCCTCGAGCAATCTAGCATCTCTCAAAATGTAGGTGAACTGTTTGCGAAGGGAATGGATAGCTTGAAGAGTTTGAAGCGAGAGAAAGTTCCTCCAGCAATACTCGTAAGCAGATCCTTCTCTTTCTGCATCTTTCCATCCTTCATATGCACGCACAAGAGCCATGTGATCACTGTAATCCTTTGCCGAGAATCTCGACTTGGCAGACCCAGCTAACTGTTGCAAACAGAGTAAAAGCTCATAAAACTCCATGTTGAGAATTCTGATGTAAACTGTTATTTTCATGTTTATCTTGATAAATAGCTTGGTTTTCACCATTTACAGTGAAGCTCCGCAGGATTGAGATAATAATTGTCAGCATCTTTACATTTAATAATTAATTACAAAGGTGGCATTACTAACATCATACAACTCTGTCGTCTCTTTTTCAATATTCAAACACTTCAACTACTTCTCCATGAATCAAGAACTATCATTTTTTGAGTTCTAGAAACCTTTTGTAAGATTGTACGAGTTTGTTAGATCTTTTAGATAAGCTCAGTCAAACACGCTACAAGGCACTTGAATTTCATACTCATACGGATGTGGTTCATGATGAATCACTTCTTTTGAGTTTAGTACACCTGAATACATTAATATAGCTTAGATAAGCAGAGATGATTTTCCATTGTCTAGTCTACCAGATCTCTGGACCATTACTTCGAAGAATAATTGTGAAACTGTTCTTAGAAAGGTGAAATAGTGACCCTTCAAAACAACAACTATTAAATGAGAAAATAATTACGAGTGAATAAGTTGAAATCAGAATATTCCTGACAAGAGAACATAATTATGCATTAACAAGAAATATAATTGCCAAAAACCTACATCCTTCTTATCTTGTGGCAAAAGGAAAGGATCTCTAACGCTCAGACCGGCCACAATTGTCAATATAGGGTCAAAGCATCGAAAAATAGCACCCATGATTAGCATTTTCCCTAGCTTAGGATCCACTGGAAGCACTGACAAGAACTTTCCTGATAGAATGAGGATAGAAAGTTAGCATAGAAAGGTAGACATACCATCAGTACTTGTGAAAGAAGAAGCAACTATGGTGTTTGGCGTACATACCTAGATGTGTAAGGTTCTCATCACCATCTAATGCACCAATCATCTTCAAAAAATCAATAGCATTTTGCACCTGAAGTGTTCCAGTGAATAATCAAGAGATAGCTCACGTCTTGCAGAAGGAAAGAAAATAAGAAACGAGACAATAATTATTTTAACGAGAAATGCAGTTAACTTTGCTTTGGAAGCATAGCATTTCTACCAAGTACTGTGGAATATAATTATATACAGACCAAACAGAAGGAAAGGCGAATTATTAGATTTTCAAGTTTTTATGGTAGAATGTTTCACTTTCGAGACGTCAAGAAAGGTGGGCTAGTAAGAAGACAAATACTAACACTTAAAAAGTGATAATTCAGAATACAATTGCAAGATAGAAAGTAATTCCTTACAGCCAATGGTTTGGGCGGCTGAAGAGCAGCAGAAAGAAAATCTCCAATGCTTTCAACTTGTAGGCTTTTAATTTGCAAGCATAGAGAATTCAGGGGAGTTCTTAGGAGTTCAGGAAGCTGATATTCGGAAAAAGCTTCATAAACACATTGCGGATAGAGGTGGTAGCACTCGCCTGGCTGAACTCGGCCAGCCCTACCCCTTCTCTGCAGGCAAAATAGAGACATGAAACGATTGCACTCACCAAGTGAATGGACAATTTTAATTGCATTAAGAGCGAAAAAAAGATATCAACTCTTATGAAAGCTTTACATTTCTAAAATGGTGTCATAAAGCGTTAAGTAGAGAACAACGTTTGTGATACTTCGTAAAGACTGCAACTAATTTTTTCTGCAATATATAGGTGCCAGAAACAACAAATAGTGATCACAAACAAAAACTCACCTGACGAGCAGATGCTTGGGATATCCATGAAGGTAGCAAACACGGTGTATTATTTAGCGCATCATAAGTAGTCTCCTTAGCTTTTCCACAGTCAACAACAAAAACTATGTCATTGATTGTGATACTTGCCTCAGCCATATTCGTTGCAAGTACAATTTTGCGAACATTGGGCGGTGGTTTCTCAAATATGAGTTTCTGTCACACGGAAAATTTTAAGATGGTCACCGGGGAAACTTTTGCTTAATGGAAATTTAAAACTGTTGTCCAATGCAAATGGAGCTGGAAGAGTCATTGTTGACAATTCTCCTGACATAGTGCTAATAATGGACTAGATCAAAATGGCTCAATTAAATTCTAGTGCTTCTTCTATTAGTGAAGTTTCTAGAAAAAAAAAATATATCAAACGGCGCAATGCACCTTGGGTCGCTACGGAAACAACCTCCTTGTATAATTACAAGGGTAAGGTCTGCGTACAACTGATCCCCCAGACCCCAACCTGTTGGGAATATACTGGGTATGTTGTTGTTGTTGTTGTTGTTGGAAATTTAAAACTGATTATTGAATCGAAATTTAAAACTGATTATTGGATGCAGCTCCATGAAAGAAAGATTTGAATCTATAAATTATGGAAGCTCCACCACCATGAATATTTTTGCTTAAGAAAGTGGGTAAAGAATTAAAATAGTTATCTGAATGATTAAATATTTAACAAGTTAGAACTCCACCATCGTGGAATATTATCAAGTTCTAGCTTTCTTCCTAGTCTGACATCGAGATAAAGGAATGTATAATTTTAAACAAGAAGAACGAAAAAGGCTACGTAAAATGGATGCCAAAAACGTGCAGTAACATACAATGTTTATGTAAATAGAAAAAATGTCCTACTTGTTCAGAGGTGGCCATTGAGCCGTGGCACGTAAGCAGCAGGACCCTATTAGGGTCACCTAAGAGAGGGTGAGCTTTTAGTTGATCTCTCAAACAACTAATATCCTCCCAACCAGTCATGAATACTAACACTGCACCAGGACGTTCTTTGCGACAGATATAACACAATACAGCCTCGATGAGATTAAACCCAATACCATCAGGTGTCCAGGATGACAATGACTCGTGAACCTTAGTGCTATAACTCCCAAAATTTGATTTATTCAGAGCTTCCTGTCAATAAAACACATATCATAAACGAATTTTCCTGCATTTTTACTAGATGAATAGTGCTACATAACTGTGACATGTTCTAACCATTTACATAATGAAGAACATTTGTACAGAAAGATGGGGAACCAACAGAACAGAATAAAACAGTAGAATATATAGATCTGATAGACGAAAACCCTATTTCATTAAACAAAATGCAAAGAAAAAAAAAAGAATGATTGTGGAAGTCTATAGTATGTTTGAATATCACTGGGTTCCTTCCATTTATACAGTCACAATCTCACAACGAATCAAGATTTGTTAAATCATNACAATAATAATTCAGAATACAGGACATATATGTTGCATATTTCCTGATGGTATGTTGCATATTTCCTGAACAATAAAAATTCTACATACTAAGTAATCAATTAAAGTAACCAAAACCACGAAAGAATCACAGAGCATTATCAGCAGTCTAATATTGAGCACATAGCAACAGGTGCCCACCTCAACAAGAGTAGTGATTTGATTTTTCCTTTTTCGAGGAGCTAATTGTCTCTGCGTTTTCCACATCTTCTCTTGGCCATAATCATCTATTTGATTGAATGAAGTCAATCTATACCCCGTTATTTCGAGTATATCTTCCAGAAAAAGGGCTCTTACAGGGTATGTGAAGCCCTGCATCAACATAAAAGACCCTCTTCATATAGTACTTAAGACTCTCCATAATAGTAGGATAAACACATGTGAACAAACAAAGAATGCCATCAGATAATAAAATACAAATGTTCTTTTGGGGACTCAAGAGTCGAGAATGCTCAATGGAATTAAAGAAATTAAATTTGACATACAAATAGGAAAAGGCGAACTACTCAAAACAAAAGGTAGAAGAGAAATAAAGATTTCCTACCAAATGGCAGAAAGGAATCTCGCTCAATGAGAGAGGCTTTATACAACCCGTTTTAGAATTACTTTACTTGCATATAAATATTTTCATGTATTGAAAGTTGAAACTGCATCCAGAATAGCAAATGCTTCTACATAACTGTACCTAAAAAGAAAAAAAAAAAAAAAAAAAAATAGACACCTACGACAAGAACAACAAGTTTTATATGGTTTTTAACTCCAACTTACGGGAATGTGGATCATAGGTGCTCCACCAAAATAACCAGAAAACAGATCGGCATTCAGCGTGGCACTCATCAGAATCAATCTTAAATCCCGGCGACGAGGAAGAAGATCCTTCAAGACAATCAACAAGAAATCTGATAAAGGAGGGCAATGGTATGTCAAGAGTCATGTAACAATATGAAACATTGTAAGTAGAAATCTACGAGCATATCTTTGTACTCACCTTCATTCATGCCACGCTCATGGATTTCATCAACAAACACATGAGTTATACCATCCAGATTCCTATCACTCAATAGCCTACGGAGTAAAATTCCACTGGTACAAAAGAGCAAATGTGTATTCTTGCCTTTCATTCCCTCCAATCGTACTTTATAACCAACCTATCAAGAAAGTCTCTGTTGAAAGACAGTGACCAGAATAAAGAAGTATGGAAATTGCACTTTCCTCAATTACCTAGTTTGGCTCATTAATTTCAGAAACTAAAACAAGAGGAAAGGATAAGACAGGCGTACCGATTCACCAAGAGGTTCTCCCCTCTCAGAAGAAACTCGTTCTGAAACTGTCATGGCTGATATTCTTCGAGGCTGTGTACATATTATGCTGCAAAATGCTCCCCGACCAGACTCTATTTCTGACTCCAAAATATACTGAGGAAGCTGGGTGGTCTTACCACATCCGGTCTCACCAGAAATCACTACAACCTAAATGTTACGGAGGAGAATAAGGAACGTATCTATCTAAATATAACTAAGTCAAGTAAAAGAAAAGCATACCGAATATAGATAGTGTGTTTCATTTCAAATATTTGAGATTACACAGAATAACACTATTGCAAAATATAATGTTCCTAATGAAAGACGACCTGGGTGGAGAAGAATAGAGGACAGGGAACCAAGAAGGTCAAAATGCTAATCAACTAGCCTTAAGAACAAATTATAAATGTCTACTGCAACTCACTGCCTAGGGAGAGAAGTGAGAAAAACAAAAACAGTAAAAAGTAAAACCATCTAAAGAGCTCCAGACAGGAAGTATATTCCGTGAAGCATTTGTTAGCATCTGCTGCAAAATGTTTAAAACACAGTAACGTCGAGCATTTCAGCAATTTTTCCCACAGAAATCTGCCTCCATATCCTCATTCTGGGGAGGCCCATACCATCTAACTTTGACAAAGGTCAGATGCCATCTCCATTTTTTACCAGAAAGCTGGACCTAACCCAAGTCTCAGCAAAATACAACTTATTCTCCAACTTCTTCTCAGAGAAACCAACAACATACAGAAAGGGATTGCAGAGGGAGAGGGATGAAAAACATTGTATCTGACTCCTTTAGCAGACAGTTTATTATTATAGAGGTGGTCCTTTTATCACATTCATCGAACTTGTTTATGCATAAAAAAAATATGTATATATATAGTACAACTTATGACACCCAACCTGATTTCTTGCTATTGCTTGAAGAAGCCTTTCCTTCTCCCGGAATGAAGGGAGAGACTTCCTGAATTCCATCATCCTCCTACCTTCTGGTGATTCCTGCATTGAGATCAACCTAGTACTATTTAGCAGATAACCCAAATTCCAAATATAAAATTAAGAACCTCAATAGGAAAGTAAATTGACAAATCAAAATCAAACACCACAATGCTAAGCAAACATGAGATTAGCAAGTCCATTGCCTATGGAGAATCCTTAATCCCAGACAATTTGGACCTCAGTCAACAGGTCAACAATTTCAAGATTAAAATGGAAGCCTTCACTTTAGTGAGGTTAGCAAACAAAGCCAATGCACTTTCTCCCATAAGCGGTATTGGGCAGGACCAGTGTAGAATTGTCACGTCAGTTGGCTGACGACTTTTCGTTCTTCATTAAGACAAAACCAAGTCGGGGGTGGGGCTGGGACTAAGTTCAACATATGCTAACGCATGAATACGCAAACAAGGTATAACCAATTCCCAAAACAAATCTAATTAAGTTAATAACTCTGAATTCCAAAACAATGATGCCTACCAATTAAATAGAAGAACATGGGAGTAAAATTGTACCCTACAATTGATGGATATGAGTATCTCTCCTTGTACATATAACTAGGGGCTTTGTATCACTATAACTCCAAATGAACAATAGAGAATCCTTCATATTTAGAAAAACATTAAACGACCAGTTGTAAGATAATGCCTTTCTTTTTCCTCAAACACTAACGGCCTACTCTTAGACACGACAAAAAGGAGCTAGACAAGTAAAACCACGCAATAGAATGGCATTGGAATCAAGTAATACATAATTTATGCCTAAATTGATCAGTTAAGATATTTCCAATAATCAGTGCACGTTATGTTGCACAAAATATCAGAATCATACGAGACTTTTTTGGTCCATAAGAACTCAAAGCAGGTACCTTCCACCAGCCATTCTGGTACACATGTGACATACGAATATTACACGTGAATCAAATCTATACCTGCCAAGCTCTCTGCATATTGCGCATGCGCAGGCTCCGCCTCTGAAGAACTTTCTCCATAACCGAATCATCAAGGAATGAATCTGCATGCTCAGCAGTATCCACATTTTCGAGGTGATTATTGGTTATCGTTTCATCTGAAGCATCGCTTTCTTTTTCAGAATACACAGTTGCTCTGTCGAGATGCTCCTGGAGCAAACCCTCCACCCTTCTTTGTAAGCTCAATGGGATCACAACCTAAACATATGAGCACCAGGATTTCAATTCTGCATAGTTAAATATAATTCCAGCTGAAACTATAATTTTCTCCAGGCACTTTTCTACACTTTCGTAAAATAAAATCAACTAAGGTTCAACGAGTGTGATAAAATATTAACTAGTGGAATAGAATAATATCCGAGCAACTTACAATATAGGCGGTAACTGCAAATAACTAGAGTGCTTAAGAAAAGACCATCTTGACTCAAGCAACGGGAAATAGACAGTGTTCATACTTCATAAGAATGTAGAAGGAAACACTCCGTCCAATATCCATATTAAATGTGCTCAGGTTTAAATGAGTTGGCCTGGGGGGTTCTCAGAAATGTGAAAAGGGAGATATTTCACATTTCCATCTGAAGTAATTAAGATTGCCGATATAGCTACAAGATTACCATAAGCTAGAGGATACTTTGGGGGAAAGCGTTGAAGGAGATGGGAGAAAATAACATACCGAACCAAATGCAAGAGCTCTAATTTCAGGACACGGGGAATATTTAGGTGTAACAATGATAAATGAAACATATCAACAAAAATAAATTAGTGTGTTCAAATACACAAAGTCATTCCACAGTAGACATAAAAAAATTAAGATAACGGGTGTTCAGAATTGGCATGAAAAAAAAAAGACAAATACGAAAACAAATTAATCACGTGAAGTATTTTCTTACCTCCCTCTGAGGCCGCTTATCATCCAGATCTGGTCTGTAGTTGGGAAGAGGAACTTTGCTTGCAACAACAATTTTTCCATATAGTTCACTAAAGAATGAAATAAATGGTATTATAATAGAGTTTCTGATAAAAGCAACATCATAGCTGGATAAAATGGGAAGCACACTTCAATACCAGTAAAGCCCCATTTGTTTGGCAAGCCTGGATATTTGTTCAAAGTCTCTCCTGTCCCTTTTATCTTTCGATACTATTTCTTGATCCTCATCACTTCGTAACAACATGCTAAGTTTCCATTTCCACTCATCAATATTCGCCACGGATGATGAAGCCTACGTTCGAAGTACAAGTTTCTTAACGTGTAATACTAAATCCAAGTGCAAGACATGCAGAAAAATGATATTGACGCATTGACAGTTGCATAAGAACGCAATTGCCTATCACAGCATTGAACGCTGAATAAAATATAGACTTTAATGAACAGAAAGCATCAGCCGCAGCATGTTTTATATGGGATTTTGTCGTATTCTTCTACAAACTACTCAATGAACTAGTCAATTTCATATAAACACAAATCGCCCGCAGTTCTACATGAAAAGAAAGCATTTTTCTTTCAGTGACACATTTGCTACTGTGACAGAACAATTTTCAAACCATTTCATAACTTCTAAGCAAATAAACAATTCAATTCCTCTATCGCAACATAAATCACACTCGGGCCTTTTGTCGAACATATGCTGAGCAATCAGATTTCAACGAAAATGAAAAACAAATGTCAAGAATAATCGATTACTGGATGATTTTCGTAATCGCATTCGTATTCATCGTCCGAGAACTGCTCGACAGCATAGCTGGAGAACTCACGTCCAACCAAAACGGAGTAAAAAGGTAAGATTTGCTGCTCAAACCAACGGGAATTTCGAGATTTTCCGACAACGTTAGCTACGGTAGTATAGCCGCCGGTAAGTGCAGCTCTTGGGCTCGGCGAAACTGAAGTGGGCGAAATAGCGATTGATTTCCTGGCGGCGCGTGCAAGAAAAAATCTTAGCCTAAAATGCATAGTGGATGGAAGCAAATTGGAGCATGGCGGTTCTTGCCGGGTTTGAGGTTGCCGGGAAGAATTGTGAGGAGTTGTAGAAATCGATATATATAAATGTTTGAATATTTTTTAAATAGCAATTATTTTTTAAAAAAAAAAATTTATTATTTTGAAAAATTAATTAATAATTTATTGTATGTTTCAAATAATTATTTATGAAAATTCTGGCTTATTATTTAGAAAATAATCAAGTCATATAAATATTCATTTTTAAGATACCATAATTACTCAAATAAATTTAAGAAATGAAACAAACCGATGTCCTTAAAATCAGACGAAATGGAGCTATATTTCATATAATCACTTATGGTAAATTCATTTTTAAGATACCTTAATTACTCAATTGTGTGAATTGGTTGATTTACCCAAATATGGGAATTTCAGCTGCAATATCAATTACGTGTTTTGGTAAAAAATTCAACTAAATTGTATAATTTATTGTTTAATTAGTGTTTTATATTTTTCGTGTAATTCTTTTGTGAAATACATTTTGAATATACCTTAATTACGCAAATTGTTTTTTTATTTTCCGAAACGACAGAGGTAACTATTATAAAACTCAAAGTGAACAGAGTTCGAATACAAAGCAAATAACCAACCGAGAAATAGAAAAATGAGAGAAACACCTAAAGTTGGTCTAAAGCCTCAACAATACAAATTCAAATCCACTAGGGAATGGCCAAATGAGAAAAATCAAGAGTTTTAGCTCCTCAACCACTGCTAAAAGCCTAGCAAGGAGACTAAACTCAAAACAACAAACCCAAGACAAAACAGCAAAAAACAAATAAACTAAAAAGCAAGAGCGAAGTCAAACCAATCCTTCTGAGCCATCCTGATCAATGTGAACACTGGTATCAAGGTTTTTTGTAAAATTCAGAGATTCTTGGACTTCCAAAGCCACCAAAGCATATATGTCGTCAGTTGAATACTTGCTTCAGCTACTTCAGAGTGATCCAGAGAGCACACTTGATACCACCAAACTTTAAAAGAGTCAGTGCTACCAGAAAGTCCATCTCATTGGACTGGAGACAGGTCCCATAGTCTAAATGCACTATGACATTCGTCATATTTACATGCATTATTAGTGATCTATTATGATATTTGACCGTGTTTATCTTTCGATTGTGCACCATTATGTTTTATTTATTAATCTATGATAGAGGTACTTTTTGTCATTAATTTTGTAGGAAATATGCATAAAAAGCGTTAAAAATGGAGTCGGGACGAAAAACGACGAAAAGCAAGTGCAGTTGAGGCACACGACTCGTGTGGGACACTGACATGAGTCGTGTGGTTGAGGAAAAAAGGGACGTTTCGTTAAGGCATTTTCACACGAGTCGTGTGGAGTGTGACACGGGTTGTGTGACCTCACACGGGTCATGTGGCAAAGTGACACGGGTCGTATGAGACCGGTCGTGTGAGTCTGGGAGTTTTGCGTGTATTAGAGAATAGTTACACGACTCGTGTGGCTATGTGACACGATCCGTGTGACGCGCAGACCACTTAAACAAGAACTATGATTCTGATGTGATTTCTTCCCTATTTCAACAAATATTCAGCCTACACTATAAAGGGACTTAAAGAACTCGGTATTGGTACTTTTGACACACTTGGAGGCCAAGAAAAAGCACGAAATATATGAGGGATTCGAGGAAGTCGAGATTGAAGATTCGGAAACTAACGGCGACAATAGTTCTTCTCTCTTTTCTCTAGTTGATTTCGAGAGCACAATTGGTAGATGGGTTTGTTAGCGACGCGTAGCAAAAAACGAAACTCAATTCCGAGTTCGGATGAGCCCGAAACGTAAAATGGCGCAGTGCAGTCCAAAGTCGCGACTCGCGAGCCTACGTCGCGACTCGCGAGAGCAAAGTCGCGACTCGCGACTTTAACAGAGCCTCCGACCAGCTGCGCGACCCCACGACCCGTCAGACTCGCGACTCACGAGTTGACTCGCGAGTCGCGACCTGTTCGACCCCGTTTTTATTTTTCTCCATTTTTACTCGTTTTAGCTCCGTTTTTCGAGCTCTATATATAAAAACGACCCCCCAGACCTAAGGAACAACGCCCAATATCGTTCCTTTCAATTTTTCTCTTCAAAAACTCAATATTGTTAGGATAACTTTCTCCGCTTTTCTTTTTTTTTCTCTCATGCTTAGATTGTTGGACACAAAGATATTTGGATTGAAATCTTGCAACTCTTAATCCGATTGTAAGTTTTTCAATTCTATTTTATTATTGTTGATTGGTTTTATGTTCTTAATTCCGGTTAACATGAAATTGAATCTAAGCATGAGGTAATCCATTCACCTAGGGTTAGGGATTTTGATTCTTGTTTTGAATTATGAGGAATGTGTTTTGTTCAATCTATACGAGTTGTGTGAATTATATGGTTAGTTGATTGATCACCATTCTAACCTAGTTAATCGACGTTTAGAACCGAGAGGGGAGACGTCGGTCGATTTAGGCTCGTATAGAGTAGACATGTTCGTAAAAGTATTGTCTATGTGTTGCTTGTTTTAATGAGTTTATCGTTTATGTTTGTGCTCTTGTTACGAAGAGTTATTGAGCATAGCCCTCTAGACGTGTAGGCTTGTTTAATCTCGTAACCGAACAAATAAGCGTTCAACATAGTTTAAGACTTGATGAGATTTCCCGACCCATAGACCTTCTTTTTCTCTAGAAATTTAATTGTTATTTCTTTAAATTGTTTTTCTAGTTCTAGCTTATTTTAGTTGATTCCCCAAATCAATCGTGATTAGAGTGTTTAGGACTTATTTTCTTTTCGTGTGTGATCAAGACCAACGCTAAATTCTGAACCGTCTTCCTCGATAGATCGATCCGGGGAACGAATCATTCGATTCGGTACTCGGTAAAAAAATAAAATAATTTGCTACAACAGCCTTAACTCCTCTCGTCATAATCCTTTCCACCCATGACTTCAAATTTTGGGCCAGATGGCTTTAGCCCACTACCAATTAGAGCACCCACAATGCTTTGGGTCTCTTAACAAAAAATCACATGCTACATGGGAAATAGACTTAGTCTATAAAAAAATACTTCCCAATGCAATTAAAAGTGGACATGGTCTAGCTTATGTGGCAATGAAAAAAAAGAGACTAAGTCCACACTTGGGTCTATTTTGGACTCAAGTACAAACTCAAACACTCATCATTTGTTCTTAATTTAATTTTTTTTTAATGAATAAAATTTATTAGAACATTTCTATTGGTTGACATGTATGCTAGACCTAATCTCTTTATTTTGCATTGCAAAGTTTTTGAGTTTTTTTACTTGGGTTTGTCCATGTCATTTAAAACTCAAGTCCAATTATATGCCACATATACAAAAAGAGACCCAAAGCATTGTGGATGCTCTTAGTTGTACATAAGCCCAAGTTTCAAGAAGAGATGAAAAATACGATAAAAAAAAAAAAGAAAAAGAGTTGAAAGTGAACCTCTTGCCCAGCGAAAACAAATAAAGAAGCCCAAGATCTCACTAAGGTAAGCATGGGTCGGTACAGTTCGAAGATTGATAAATCTCCAAAACCGTACCGAAGTTCGGAGATCATTAAAATTCGATCTCTAGAACCGTACCAAAAATCGGTTCGATCCGGTTCGGAGATTTTTATTTTTCGGTTCGGTTCGGTTCGGTTCGATTTTTGGGACTATCGGAAGGGTTCGGTTCGATTTGGTTCGGTTCGGAGATTCGGAGATTTCTTATCATTTTTAAAATTTTTTGAACGACAACCTAGTTATATTTTATTTTTTATATGTTTTTTTTTTAAAATCTAACATTCATCAATACTTTATCATACTAAAGATTTTATTTTTAAATCAACTTTAGAAGTAACCCTAAATTTTAGTTAAGACTAAATTCAACTAACATTGAAAATTTAAAATTCAAATAAAATATAATATAGTTTTATATTAAAGTAATATTTATTTAACCTTCCATACCATATTAGTTATAAGATAAACTAAGTCTAAGTATCGACAACTTTATGTAAAGCTTAAATATTTTTATTTTTTAAATCTTTAACGTTTTATTATATTTTAATTTTTTTTAAACATGAGAAATTCAATTGTAGATCAAGTATTGTTAATCATAAAATATAAGTGAATCTTAATTGTTATTACTTATTTGCATTTTAAAAACTCTCAAATTATATAGGATTCAAAGTTGACATAAAATATATTAATAACACACATTTATTTTTATAATTCGGTTCTTAATTTTGGTTTTTCGGTTCGGTACGGTACGGGACGGTTCGGTTCTCGATACGGATTCAGTTCGGTTCAGTTCGAAGAAAGTCAATCGGTCAACGGATATTCTCCGGTTCGGAGTGACTTCGGTTCGGTTTTCGGAATGATTACTCAGCATTAGATCTCAGGACAAAAAAATCTATTAACCTCTTGCCCAGCAAAAACAAAAAAATCTCAGAACTCTCGACTCTCGTCATAAATCCCAAGTTCTCAACTCTTATCACTGTAACCTAATCGCCCAAACTCATAAAACTTATCGTAGGCGCAAACTTTACCGACAGCGTACCGCCCTCTCCGTGCGCCCTCCGCCCTCCACCGTGCGCCCTCCGCCCTCGCTCGTGGCCTGTGGGTCTTCACCGATTTCACGATTTGTAGGCTTTTGATTTTTTTTATTTGTATCTCTTTTGTAAGTACTTTTCTTTCTGGTGATGAATGTTTTTGTATTATTAATATTTGTGGCTAATTATGTAGTGTTGGGCTGGGAGTTGGGAAGATTGAGTTAAACTTTGAAATTGTCGGTTTTATTCAATTTTTCTGCAACTAGATTAGTTTTTTGCGTTATAAAAAAAAGGTGGCGGGCCTGGCCCGCCAAACTCACGGTTCTGAGGCGAGGGCGGGTTGGGCCTGCATTTTATAGGCCCGCCAAATGGCGGGCTACGGGCGGCCCGTAGACCCATCTTGACAGCTCTACCAATCACACTGACTTGCATGACTTTGCTCGATTATTTTTTTTATATCTACATTGGTTTTCTTCTCCAGACGTCCCAACCCATAAAGGAAAAAAAGAGAAAATCAAGAAGGAAGAGCAGAATGAAGATAGAAGAAGTACAGTCGACCACGAAGAAGCAGAGGATAGCCACTCATACTCATATTAAAGGCCTCGGCCTTGAGGTAACTTACACTAAATTCTTTTAGTGGATATTTTGATTAATAAAGACTAAATGTGCGTGTTTTAGAACCTTTAATTATTATTGTTTTTAGCTAGTAACTCATTGTGTTCTAAAAAATAGACCTTTTGGGTTTTGTGTTTATGGGGTTTAAGAACTAGGGTGTTGCTGTTTTTGAGTATTTGGTGAAGATATAGTTTTGTTGGGAGTATGTCGCGATATTTGATTGTGTGGTCATAGTGTTTATTGTTTGTTGTGGAATATGCATTTATAAGTTGAAAAACAAGAGGAAACTAACTGGAAAAGTAGAAAACAGAAATTTAGTGTTAAAGATTAGATTTTTATTATACTCTAATGTGAGCAAATCTAATGATCTTTCTATCAACTGGTTTGGACTTGAATCCTGATGGCTATTATGTTTGAAGCTGAATTGAAAAGCAGTACCTTTGGCTACGAGAGGAACTGGAATAGCAGAAAACATAAAATTAGTGTTAAAGTCTTAAAGATTAGATTTTTATCATTTGTGCGATTATACTCTAATTTTGAGCAAATTTAATTATCTTTCTATCAACTGATTTGGACTTGAATCCTGATGGCTATTATGTTTGAAGCTGAATGGAAAAGCAGTACCTTTGGCTGCTGGATTTGTGGGTCAAGCTTCTGCGAGAGAAGCTTCTGGGCTTGTGGTTGATATGATTCGGCAAAAGAAGATGGCTGGGCGTGCTTTATTATTCGCTGGCCCACCTGGTACTGGAAAAACTGCCCTTGCTCTTGGAATTTCGCAAGAACTCGGCAGCAAGGTAATACTATCAGCAAAATCACGACTTTTTTGAAAATGAATTATGAGAAGAAGTTTATTTTACAATTCACCGCACTTGTTGGTAAGTCGTAAAACGTGCTTTTCCAATAGACTTGCATCATTGTAGTTTTATAAAGCTCGTCTTCATATGGATTTATTTAAATGTATTGGAAAATTGTCTGGCTGTGTTTCCAAAATTCTGTTTTGTGGAACGGCAAAAACTGGAATTGTTTCAATTTTCATTGACTACTCACTAGACAAAGATGATTTAAATTTCGGAGCAGTTTGGAATTGGAAACTCTTCAGGGAAAAGATTCCTTATGTACCCTTAATCCTATCCCTGTAAAGGTCAATGTACATAATTTGGCTACAATTTCTTGAGCTCTGTAGTTTTCTTACTTTTTTTGCAGCTAGATTGCTATCTTAACTTGCTATTGGTACCAACTTTTAGCATTATGTTTTCTGTTTAAGTTTTCTGATTTTAGCATTATGTGCCTTGCATTGACGGTGCAGGTTCCATTTTGCCCAATGGTTGGATCAGAAGTGTATTCATCGGAAGTAAAGAAGACTGAGGTTCTAATGGAGAATTTCCGTAGAGCTATTGGCCTCCGTATTAAAGAAAACAAAGAGGTTTACGAGGGAGAGGTGAGCTACTCCATTATGAGAAATATTGTTAAAACAAACATTGTTTGTCTGGTTTTCCTAGGGTTCCTTTGTATGGAAATGATAATTTTATTTTATTTTCCAATTTCTAAATCAGTTTGCTACTCATGTTACAGGTTACGGAACTCTCCCCAGAAGAAACTGAGAGTGTGACTGGCGGATATGGTAAAAGTATAAGCCATGTCATAATTGGGTTGAAAACTGTGAAAGGAACCAAACAACTGAAGTTGGACCCAACAATTTATGATGCTTTGATAAAGGAAAAGGTGAAGTTTTTATATCAAGCCCATTGATCCAACACTATGTGATCCATTCCAACTACATTTTTCAGTGGCATTCGGGAGTGCCTTAGTCACTATAAACTGATTTGTAATATATTGCATGGACGATCTACCTATTCTTAGTAGATATTCTTGCATGTCCTATTTATGTTATTGAGTTTAATCTATCAAGAAATGCAGGTAGCTGTTGGTGATGTTATATACATTGAAGCAAATAGTGGAGCAGTCAAAAGGGTGGGAAGGAGTGATGCATTTGCTACTGAGTTTGATCTTGAGGCAGAAGAATATGTACCACTTCCTAAAGGAGAGGTTCACAAAAAGAAGGAGATTGTCCAGGTTTGTGCCTATGCTTTGCAAAAATATTCATTGGGTAGTCGAACCCAAAATACTGTATGATTTAGCTCAACTGAGTTTGTTTGCTTCAACTTTCCAGTTGTTTATGGGCGATGGAAATGACCCTCATACTATATATACCTCTGTTTAAATTTGTAATCTTCTGTTTTACATATTTTTTTTTAACATTGTGCGTTTAAAGAAAATCATTTTTAATTGTGTGCACAGCAATATCTTAAATGTGTCGGTTGAAATTTCATTCTTAACTTTTTAAATATTACCCTTTCTAAGCACTTGGTTATTGGGTTCCTTGTTAGTGTCTTGCTTTTCTACTCTTACAGTCAATTCGTTGTGAAAAATAGTGTTTTTTTTTTGGATTGTTTGTGGACTGTGTGTGGGTTCTCGTGATGAACGTTTGGGCATAGATTCTGGTGTATCTCCTTTTTTAATGTTGAATGTCTATATTATTTAGGATGTTACATTGCATGATCTTGATGCTGCAAATGCACGGCCTCAAGGAGGGCAAGATATACTCTCCCTCATGGGTCAGATGATGAAACCCAGAAAAACTGAAATCACCGACAAGCTTCGGCAGGAGATAAATAAGGTTTCTTGTGTACATTTATGGCAAAAATGCATTTTTAGTCTTGTTGGTTTAGCACCATAGCAATTTTAGTCCCAACGTTCTCACTTTTCGCCTTTTGGTCCTATAATTTAATATTTTGATGCAATTTCAATCCTTTGAAGACTGAAATTGCAATAAATTTCTAAATTTGTAGATCTTTTATTAGCAACTTAGGTCCTATAATTTAAAATTTTGTTGCAATCCTTTGAGGATTGAAATTGCAATAAATTTCTAAATTTGTAGATCTTTTATTAGCAACTTAGGTCCTATAATTTAAAATTTGTTGCAATTTCAGTACCCAAAGGACTGAAATTATTAGAATTTTAGGACTAAAAATGCAATTTGGCTGAACATTTATTGTATTCACACGTCATACCCCCATAGTGATTTTGATCTCCAGTTGGAATTATTTCGTAAATTTGGTCTCATATTGTTAAACAAATTGCAGGTGGTGAATCGGTACATAGATGAAGGCGTGGCTGAACTCGTTCCAGGCGTATTGTTTATCGATGAGGTTTGTTATTCTCTTTTATAAATGAATGTAAATTTTAATCCTTAACTGCATTTGTGCATTTTTTCCCCTTACACTATAAGGATAATAATTCAGGTGCACATGTTGGATATGGAGTGCTTTTCTTATTTGAATCGTGCTTTAGAAAGTTCTCTATCTCCCATCGTCATTTTCGCCACGAATCGAGGAATTTGTAATGTCAGGTAAAAATTTCGGTTCACTGGTGCCTTTTTTGCCAGACATTACAAAAATAATAATTACTAATTATAAGAAGAATATGTAAACATGAAATGAAATAATAAAAAAAAATAAAAAATTGATTGTCTTGCAGAGGAACAGATATGACTAGCCCTCATGGTATACCTGTTGACTTGTTGGACCGTTTGGTTATTATAAGAACCGAAACATATGGCCCGGCTGAAATGATACAGGTTAGTTGTCAAATTTCGGAACTTGATTTATATGTGAAGATTTGAAATTTCTAACTGTTTTTTTTTTTTTTTTTAATTTCCTCACGAAAAATTATTTTCATTTTTTCGGTCAGATTTTAGCTATCCGAGCACAGGTAGAGGAACTCAACATAGGCGAGGAAAGTCTGGCTTATCTTGGAGAGATTGGACAGCAAGCATCTTTGAGGTTCTCTCTCTCTCTGCATTAACAGATTTATTACAAAAGATACCTTTAAGACAAAAATTTAAGAAGCAACTGCATGACAATTGATTCTATTTTAGGCAATAGCACCTTTTCTGAAGAGGTTATTTACTAGGTAATAAAAATCTCGAGGAAACCTTTGACAAATAAGCTATATGTTTCGATTTCGGCTGGACCTTGATGGTCGATTTTGTGATTTACCCTTGTTCAATTTTTAATCTGATTCGTGATTTTTCCTCAGGCATGCCGTTCAGCTGTTATCACCTGCTAGCATAGTTGCTAAAATGAACGGTCGTGATAGTATTTGCAAGGTAAAGACCATATTCTGATTATTGATCTTAGCAAGGATACTAAATGATTATTAGGAGAAAAAAGCTTAAATAATAATAATAATAATAATATTTTATTTTTTTTTATTGCAGGCGGATCTTGAAGAAGTGAGTTCTCTGTATCTTGATGCCAAATCATCTGCAAAGCTTCTTCAAGAACAGCAAGATAGATACATATCATAGACACAAAAAATTTGGCTCGAACGATATTTCAGTTGATTGATCCCTTGAGATGTGAACAGTCGGGTTTTAAAATCTTTCCTTTTCCTAAAGGATTGTGTGATGCAACTGGTATGATTCACTTGTCTCCAGTATTTGTTTACCGCGTATTTTCATATGCGCTGTTTTGTCATTTGTGGCTCTTTTTTTGGCCTAAGGCACATTATTAGGGTGTTGATTATTGTAACCTCAGACACGATGATGGAGACGAGATCACCTTGGCGTTCATGGACAAATATGAGCGACGTTGGAATCGTGCACGAATTTTGCATGGGATTTGTGCATGACCTTTAGTAGTATTGTTGTTGTTGTTGTTGTTGTTGTTGTTATTATTGTTATTATTATTATTATTATTATTAGATGATGAATTCTAAACATAGTGATATATTCAAAGAGTCGTTCAAAACAAAGACAGTATTGAATCTAAGAGGTTGGTCTTTGGTGAGGAACGAGAAGTCACATGAAGACCAAAATTGTATTTAAATGGGGATTGTTCTTAAGATTAATTGGTTGATATTGAATAAAGTTACAAATTATCGTGAATTTGATACTCGTGTGTATCTTATCGTTTACGCTTTTGTCTGCATCATGGAGGAAAAACGAAATATGTGCTATGGATTTTTTTTCCATTTTAAAATTCAATGAAAAATGTTGAATTTTGTAAACTTAGAAAAATATAACTATTTAATCAAATAAAATTCTAATAATTTCATAAAAATAGATTGATCAACAGTACTACACGCTAAATCAAATAAAAAATTCATTAGTATTGGAAAAAGAAATATATAGAAATGAAATTTAACACATCTTATTTTCCAATAAACAAGTTATTGATAGAATGAAAAATAAGTGATCTATATCTATCTATATCTATATGTATCTATATATCTATATATATTAAGAATTACCATTACTAAAAATAGTAGCATAAAATTTAAGAAATATTTAATGCATACTATTTTTGGAAACTTTTTAAATATATGCATTAATTTCTTTCATATATACGTTTTCAAATAAGATCAAATAAGATATGATCAAAAAATTACTTAAATAAATTTATTAATATCTGCAATATGTTAATTGATATTTATTATCATAAATTACAAGAGTGATTTTCCGTGATTCATATTCGAAATAATTTGGTCAAGATAAATATTATTTCATTAATATTTGTAATACTTTCATTGATATTCATTATAATGAATTACAATATTGATTTTTATGATCCATGTTGATAATATTTTGGTTAGGATATATTACACCATATTTTAAGTTTTAACCACAATATTTTTTTTTCACAAATATTCACTTTTTATCCAAAAATATTTATGAAAAATCGTAACAGGTTAGGTAGATTTTTTTTTTTCCAAGTAATCAGACAAAATCAAGTTGGTGAATTAATCTTGCCAATATATTTTTTTCTTAAGCTTTATTTTGTTAAATATTAAAAATAAATTGTTCTTGAAATCAATATAATTTACCATTTAAGGGATAATGACTAGATACATTAAATAGTTTTACTAATGGTAAAAAATTAAAAATTAAAATATATTAACTATTTTTTAGAATTTATTTGTATATTATTGGCACCCGTGATTTTTTTTTTTAATTTTTTTATTTTGATTTATTTTTATAATTAAATTCTTATAAAATATATTTTCATTGCAGAGTATGCTAAATAAACTATAAATCCCTATAATGCGAAATAGAAAAATATTGATCATAGAAGGAATTGAGTTTTTGACATTTTCTAAATCAAAGTTTTTTAATTAGTTTACAAAATTAAATTCTAAAAAAACATGTGTATATTTTGTAAAATATTTGTACACTATTTAATTTCAAATTTATTTACATATTTAAATTGATTACATAAATTAATAATACTAACGTGCATTAAATATTTTTCATGACATAAATAAAAAGAAAAAGAAGACGTATAACTTATATAACTTTATAAATAATAATGACATTATATGACAACAATGTTTATAATAAAATAATAATTAAGTATTATATGGTGAACAGAAATAAGTAAAATTGTTATTCTCTCTTATATCAAGGAATAAATATATATACTAAAATCAAATTTATATTGGTATAAATGTGTTAGTGAAATAATATATTAATTATTTTACAAGCTAGCCTGCTCTTGTTTTGACTAAAAAAACAACGCTGATTAAAAGAGGTGCAAAATAGATTGTAACCTTATTGTTTATACACTTAACACTGATTAAAAGAGATGGAAATAGATGATAACCCTATTGCTTTATATATTTAAAAGGACAAAGTCTGTAAAAATAACTCATTTAATATTTCTGTCCATGGTGTTCCCACTTTCTCTCCTCCTTACTATAATGGAAAATGAGTTCTTAGACACAAATAGGAAAATTTAATAAGGTATTTACGGGCCAATAGTTGGGCTTAAAAGATTTGGACTAAATTGGGCCTATTTGGGCTTAAATTTGTTTGACTCTAATTGGGCCATTAGCTCAATAAATTTGTTTTCCAATCCAAAAACATTATCTGTAAGGACAATTACCCTAAACCGATTTAAGAAATCACTTTCCCTGCAAACATAAGAACAAAAAACTCAAGAGTACCAAATTGCAGAGTTACCATTTTGATTTCGGGTCCCCGCGTTTTCCGCTTCGGAGCAGTATTTCACTATTTCTCACCTTCGTTCACAGACAAACACTGCATTTGTAGAGCGCCCATCTTTTACCCGCCTGGTTATCCTACTCAATTTCGGTGAACAAAAAGCTGCTGTTTTCTTGATTTACACCCATCTTCTTGATTTTACTCGGTTCTTGACGGGCTGTCCCTCTAATTTAGTGCGAGCCCATTAAATTTCACCAACTTTTTTAGGCATTTGAAGCAAGAATTGGAACACTTTGTGCATAATGAACGCCCCCATCATCGGTAATGTTTTGCTTTTCAGTTTTTTGGGTTGGTTGAAACTTATTTACATGTACTGCTTTTGTACATCTACATGTTTTTCCCCATCGTTTTGGAAAGAAGAACGTGCTTTTTTATTTATTTATTCTGGGTTGGGTTTTTGCAGACCCACTACAAGGAGATTTTCCTGAAGTAATTGAAGAGTATTTGGAGCATGGAATAATGAAATGCATTGCCTTTAACAGGCGAGGAACCCTGCTTGCTGGTATGTTGTTGCAGTGATTATTTTCGTCTAATTATGAATTCCTTGGTTTAGTGTATGTTTTAAAATGGAAAATTTCACATTTTATAAATGCACAGGTTTTTAATAACTTTAAAACTTCATATCGGTTTTGGGAATGACAGTTTGTCCTAATCTATGTCATGATTCTTACTTATTGCTTGTGCTTACAGTTTCATCTTCTCTATATTCTTGGGTTCTGAATCAAGCCCCTTTGATATATATTATCCCAGACCTGTTGAGAGTATTTAGCCGTGGCTTTCTGATCTGTGTGCTCTAGGTATAGTAGGAAATTCTTGATTCTGTTATATTGATTTCATGTAGTTGTTATGTACTTATGGTAATTCCTCGTCCTAAGAAAAATTGGAAATTAGCACATTTTTCAGTTATTAAAATATCATATGGTTCCCGACAGTGCTTACAACTTTTTCTTTCCTCACTTAGTGTGTCAATCCGTGACATGGTCCACTATTGACTTTATCACTGAATAAGCTAAATGATAGCTAAACAAGTCATGTCTTTCCATTTTTTTGTTTTTTCTTCCTGCTTGGATTATTAATAACCCATAAACCCTGTTAGTATTTGATTTATGAGTAAGCACTGACATCTTTGTTCAATCTTTATACACTCCGTACTTAGATGGATCTCTAATCTTCATTTGACATGTTACAAAATTCCTTTAAGCTGGGTGCTCTGATGGAAGCTGTGTTGTATGGGATTTCGAAACCAGAGGCATCGCCAAAGTATTGAAGGACAAGGACTTAATTGCCGCCATAACTAGCGTTTGCTGGTCCAAGTATGGACACTGCATACTCGTGTCAGCTGCAGACAAGTCCTTGACTCTATGGGATGTTGTCAAAGGAGAGAAAATAGCTCGAACAACAATACAACAGATGCCTCTCCAGGCTCGTCTCCATCCTGGTTCCTCCACACCATCTATCTGCTTGGCTTGTCCTTTCTCTTCAGCCCCTTTGATCGTTGACTTGCGTACATCGATCTCTACAGTGCTCCCCGTCTCACTATCAGACGCAGGAAATGGCTATGGCAATGGCAATGGTAATGGTAATAGTAATGGTAATGGTGCCCTTTCATCACGTAACAAGTTTTCGGATGGATCCCCTGCTTTTTCGCCTACTGCAGCGTGCTTTAACAAGCGTGGGGACTTGGTTTATGTGGGGAATTCCAAAGGAGAGATACTTATTGTAGACCACAACAGCATGAAGATACGTGGTTTTGTGCCCATTGCAGGGAGTGGAGTGATTAAAAACATCTCGTTCAGCAGGAATGGTCAGTATCTCCTGACGAATTCAAACGACAGAACTATTAGAATTTATGAAAATCTTTTACCCGTCAAAGGCGGGCTTCAAGCCCTGGATGAACTAAGCAAACAACTCGTCGAGCAAGATGAAATCGAGAAGCTGAAGGGTGTCGGGTCGAGGTGTCTGGCTCTGTTTCGTGAGTTTCAAGACTCGGTCACAAGAGTGCACTGGAAAGCCCCGTGCTTTAGTGGTGATGGGGAGTGGGTAGTTGGAGGTTCTGCTAACAAAGGAGAGCACAAGATGTATATATGGGACAGGGCAGGGCATCTCGTGAAAATTCTCGAGGGTCCGAAGGAAGCTTTGATAGATCTTGCGTGGCATCCCATTCACCCTATTGTTGCTTCTGTCTCCCTTACGGGCTTGGTTTATATTTGGGCCAAGGACTACACTGAGAATTGGAGCGCTTTTGCCCCGGATTTCAAGGAGCTCGAGGAAAATGAGGAATATGTGGAGCGAGAAGATGAGTTCGATTTAGTGCCTGAAACAGAAAAAGTGAGTAAAAATGATGGATGTAAAGTTAAAACCTGGCTTTGTTTCCTTTTCTTTCCCTTTCTAAACAATATACATTTTTTTGTATGATTCCAGGTAAAAGATTCTGATATTAATGAAGATGAAGAGATTGATATTGTGACAGTGGAGAAAGATTCTGTTTTTAGTGATTCGGACATGTCACAGGACGAAATACGCTTCTTGTCTGCTGACCCATGTGCTGATGTTGTTGAGCAGCAGGACAGACATGTTATACGTATTTCGAAGGGGGATGGCAGTCGGTCTGTATCTCCTTTTTCAGAGGAGGCAGTGCAGAATGGTCATCTAACAAACAATGAATCCAGTCCCCTTGAAGGTAATATATTACTGTGCATTCAGTTCTATTGAGAAAAATGAATGTTTGAGTTCAATGCTAAATGCAATTGTTACCTTTTTCTGGATATCTTCGGAAAAATTGGTGAATATCTATGAATGATACTCTTTTCCCTATTTCGTTGTCCAGGTGGAGGATTTGAGGCAGATAGTCAAGATAGTTGTGTTTGTAACCTATTAGAGTTGTAGAAGAGACCTCTAAAGATCAATAGAAACTATTTTAAAGAAAGTGCATGCTCACACTAGAAATTTGGAAGTATTATAAATCAATGGTCTTTTGGTGTATGGTGTATGGTGCATGATGTTTTTTGTTGTGCCAGTTTTAATATTCAAATCTTTGTTCTTAATCACACTAAGCGTACAAAGGCATATCCAAATTCATATAACTATTTGAAAATGGTACAGAATCCAAAATGTAAGGTTAGAAAAAAATTCATTGGGTCCAACTCTATAACTTTGCTAGCGTGGTTGAACAAAGCATTTTTTATTGTTAGTTTCTGTGACCTGTCATGTATACCCACATACTTTATGAAATTAATGATTTCTGCTGCAGATGACACAGGAGAAACACATACAAAGAGAAAGAGGAAGCCTTCTGAGAAAGTAGTGGAATTTGATGCAGATTTTGATGAAAAGCCAATAACCAAAAACAAAGCATCAGTGAGTTTCTCTAAACTGTTAATAATATAACACAATATCAACATGAATATAAATTTACGATTTAGTATATTTATGTCAGGAAGTCAACTATAGCTGGTTACGAATCTTATTTTCAGTTTGATGAATCTCAAGTGCTTCTCTTTCTATTTTTTCGTATAGGCTTCTAGACTTAGGAACCTGTAATGTCCATTTTCATATAAAACCTATAGTAGTTGGATGCAAGGATGGGTATTTTCTGAAGTACATGTGAGAAACTGAAGTGTTCGACGTGCAGTTGAAACAACATTTCTTGCTCTTGTATATGCTTGATCACATTTGTATACCTTTTGATTGAGTAGTAACTTGCTTCAACAGGGTAATGCATCATGAGGATACCCCCAGCAAGAAAAAAGAACTGCGGATAACAATTAGTGGTTTACACAAGCAATCACATAAAGTTCGTTTGTGCATCAACAATTTTCATTAGTGGATGATGATTAATGCTACTGATAGGTGGTTCATGCGGTGAATTCAATAAAGCTCTTTGACTTGCTGGAACTTTTGTGAAGAACAGCATATAACAGGCCAGACATTCAACCTGTTATCCAAGTTGTACCTAGGATGGTGTTTTCTGAAGTAGTCTTTTAGAAAGTTCATTCTTGTACATTTACTAGGACCTGAACCATGAATGATTATTGTTACTTTTGGTGTTTGGATAACTCTTGCATTGAAGGATTAACTTAAGAGAGTATCAACTATCAAGTGCTGGATAATACTGCCACAGATGTATTATACTGGTGATTTCTATTGAAGATCTGCACTTTTTTTTTTAAGTATCATTTCTGTTTTATGTATTAAATTTTCAAGGTGAAAAGGGTATTAACTTCCCTGTTTTCATGGTTGTTTTGTCTAGCCTTTTATTTTATATTATATTATTATTTTGTTGGTGGTTGAAAGTACAGTAGCTCTCAGTTTGATTCCATCTAAGAGCAGTTTATATTACTGGACTTAAGCCGTGGTTGATAACAATCTTGTTCGTTTGAGACATAGCTAAACTCAATTTACTTTTTGTTCTTACACGTAAGAATTTGCGGGTGCAGTGTTAGGGGGTTAAATTGATGCCCTGCCCTGCTTCTGATTATAGGTCAGCCATATAAAGAGAGAACATCTAAAGCTATTTTGGTAAAACCAGGAAAGAGGAAATCGCGAGTTTGCTCAAATTTTTATCAGCTTTTATTGCTTTTGGAACTTTAAGAATGACGAGGAACATATAAGCAATGTGCCTTCAAATTTTCTCATGCAACTTATAAATTAAATTATATACAATACAAATGGTAATTTCACGTTCGTACGGAATCTAGTTTTTCTCCTTTCCAGATGCAAACTTGTAGGTGACATATGCCGTGAGAGCCACGACAACAAGCACTGCCACCCCCATATTCACTAGCAATTGCCTTTCTTCATTGAGCTCGGCAAGTCCTTTCACTGCTTTTCTATATTTCTCCTTTGTGATGACAGCTCCATATAATTCTTTGTCACCTGTTGTTTTCTCAGGTAATTCTTTCATCTTCATTTTCGGCAAAGGAATATTCTTTCCTTCGGACTCGCCCATTTCTTTCTCAGCATCACGTGAAACTGAAACTCCTGTTTTTCCAAACTGGCTCGAGTCACGTTCCCTTTTGTAGTCATCTCTTGCCTCACGAGATTCTATACTCTTCTCTTCTGCTGATTGGAAAGCCTTATCTTGGCCTTTTTGAAGCGCGGTTTTGTGTTCTGTACTTGGATTGGTCGAAATCTTCTCATGTTCTTTGCTTTTATCTTCTCGTGGTTGACTGGTGCTAACTTCTGGTAAAACTTTCTCTTTATCTTTTGCAATGGCAGGGTGTTTTTGTTCGTCGTCGTTGATTTTTGGTAAAAGAGAGTCGTGTGGCTTGTCAACTACTCTTTTCGGGACCGTAATCACTAAAACCCCTCCTTGAAACTTGGCACGAATGGAGTTCATTACGCCATCTTCCGGAACTTGAAATTCCTCCAGAAAACGGCTCCATTTGTTGCCGCCAACCAAGCGTTCTCCACGAACCCTTATAATATTCTGCCCTTCCGTCGAGACCCTGATTTGCTCCTTCATGAAGCCTAGAGACNATTGTGAAAAAAAAAAAAAGAAAAAAAAAAGAAAAAAAGAAATTAACAGTTTTGCTATAGAGTCATCGGATGGCTCGACTTATGGAGCCATCCACACTTATTTACCAATAGTGTATTGACACGTGTCCTACAATAAATACAATTTGGACATGTGTCAATACATTAAGTGGTGGATGGCTCCATTAGAAAACCATCTGATGGCTTCATAGAATTTTTGAGAAAATAAAGATTGACTAGTGAATTTCTTTTTTTTTTTCCTCAAGATTTTCCATGGCCCCTCTCTATATATACATAAAAAAATCGACAAATTTAGATACCCGGAAGATAGATGTTGAGAATGTGAGACTCGTTATCTTGTTTCCATTCTGAGACGGGTCTGAAGTCTTCGTAAACTGGGCGGACGCCACCTGTCCGAGCTCCACGCCTTGGATTAGATGCAGAACCACCTCTCGGCCTCATTGCCATTACACTTAGAAAAAAAAAACCCAGAAAGTTTGGTAAGTGACTCGAGAGCAAGATTAACGATTGTGATTGCTGATCGAATGCTCGTTTATAAATGCGTGCGTAAACCGCTGCCCGAGCTTTGAGTATTCAGTTGGTTTTTTGTTGTGTTCCTTGTGGAGAAGGCTATTCCAATATGGTTGCTTCTGAAGATTGTGTTTTGTCTGATTTGGGTTTGTGTGTCTTAATGCATGAGGTATCTCTTTTGTTTTTAAATGAGGTAAGGTTCTTTGTTTAACCATGTACAACACGTTTTGTAAGGGATAATGGCTGTAGATTGACCATGAATATCAGCTGACTACATTTGATTTGTGTTGTGTTTTTTCCTTGGTGGATAAGTGTTGAAAGGTATGCATAAGGTGTTTGTTTTTTTTCCTCCCTTTTTGAAAAGGTCTTTTAGATGTGGCTTTTTTTGCACAAGTCAAGGGTAAATTACGTGCCTTGTGCTTATGGCTTTGTGAGTGATAGGATTAACAATTTGCCCACGCATCCTAGGAAAGAAAAAAATGAAATTTTACTCACGTTCAATTTTTATACGCACCTAGAAACACGGGCCTGATCCGGGCCCAGCCCACCCAACTAAAAAAAAGGAAAAAAAAAATAAAAAACAATGCTTTTTTCCCACGCCGGGCCAAGGTCGACAAAAACAAGACCCTGGACCGACCCGGTTGAAATTCGAGCCAAACCCGGACCCGTGGTCAACGGCTCCACCCAAGTTAGTCAAAATGTCAAAACCATCAACAAATTTACTTTCATTTTAGAGGAGAGATATCATTGACTTTTTCTTTTTGACACAGATCATTTACTTGTTTCCTAATATTAGACGTGTCCTAATTTTTAGATGGCAAATAAAAACATATTAACCATCAATTACAAAACCTCCCAAAATATTTAAGAGAATATGACAATCATACCATATATTTAAGGGGACACTTCAATGTCTTAGTTCGAAATCACATCAGAAACGAAGGTAGGTCTTGCAATTATCATCGACAAATAACAAGGAAACTACATACAAACAGAAGAGTACACAAGTGAAACCAATCTCAATAGAATAGTAAGAGGAATGCGATTATGAGACGATAACAGGTAAAAGAGCAACCGTGCTCGACCAAGTACCGACTTAGAACCATATCATCATAACACCTAAACGTTGGACATGCTAGTTTTCTTTCCAAATCTCGTAAAATGGAAAGAAAATGACTGGCGATTCCTATGGGACGATTAATCAGCTTGCCCAATAGACTAGATAAAAATAAATTGTTGAATATTTAGGGGAAAACCAAGTCAATAGCCGTAGTTGGAGCCATAAGCATCAAGACTCTGATTTGGAGCTGGCTGGGACGTGTATACCGAGCCATGAGCTGCGTAAGAGTTGTTATACATTTGGTCAGCTGGTTGTGTTTGAGCTGTGCCTGCTGCTGCAGCAGCTTCTGCCATGAAATTCTGCAGGAAAAAGTTTGACATTCGGTTTATCAGTCGTTTTTGCCAAAACAGGAAATCTGATGAGCACATTAAAAGTTTCAGCCACATCAATGAATAAAAAAGCAATAAAATCAGCAATACAACATATATATATAATAAAATAAATAAGGAAAAAAAAATTAGATAAGAAACATTCGTATTACCTGAATCAATTGTTGAGCAGTTTGAGCTTGAGAAGCAGTTCCACTAATCTCAACTGTCATCTCCCCAGGAACTCCTCTCGTTTCTTGTATGGTAATTGTAGCACCACTAACCCGCCGAGTGTAGCTTATATTTGCTCCTTGTGTACCAATCACAGCATCAGCATAAGATAATGGAACTTGCATCTTCTGTGTGATCTGCAAGCATGTCAAAGGGCCATCAATACAAGATATATGACATATGGCTTCTACCCAACTCGACTAAATTTCCAAAATGCTACAATCTTTATAAATGTTGACACAAAGACGAGTCGAACCTTAAGTTATAAGACAAAGGAATTTACTAAGCCATCTGTGAGAGCAATTGACATTCAATCTGTTGCACATTCTCTACATAAGGAGGACAATTAAACTGAACTTGTAATAGCAAAAAAATAACCTGAGTGATAAGTGATGAAGCTGCAGCCTGACTGGATGAAGTATGCAGAGGAGGCATTGGGGCTTCTCTTCCATAGGCAGATATCCCTTCATGAGGTTGATTTTCTGGTGGAGGGGGATAATAATCATCAAACTGCCTAGGTGGAGGCATGAATGAAGTAGCTCCATAACCACCACCTGTGGGTGCATTCGGTGGAAAAGGTTGAGGAGGTGGTGGGCCCCACGGCTGGGGAGGGGGCATACGTTCCGCTTGAGAATTAGGTGTTTGCATCTAAAAAATAAACGTAATGTAAGGTCATGAAGATATGATCAAAAACATTATTCATCCCAAAAGTACTGACCTGCATTTCAATAACTGGTATTATGCTACGATCAACTAAAAATTTTCTCAAATGAGAGGCGATTAATTCAATCGCCTTATGCGTGCTTTCTGGCTCCCCTACAACCTCTACAACTCTATCATCATGGAGGGCAAACATTGGCAGCTCTTCTGCATGATATTGCAATAAATCAAAAGTATGAGAGACTTGATAAACATAAGGATGATATTCTAGCATATATAATATACTAAAGCTCTTATATAATATCAGTCTGCATACAAGTAGACATAAATATCAGTTGACAACACATAATATTCTTTCAAAATTTTATTAGGGATCTGAACACATTCTATCTGATTCCTAATTTGTGGCTGAAGCTGAACAGACTTCGGGTAGCCTTGTCAGCTTTAAAAAGTTGGATTCCATGAAACTCTAAATAAGGCATGAATGGATAGACCAGTATACTCCTTTTAACTTATTTTCTCTTAGCATATAATATTGCCACGTGTTCCAACAAGTTTTATATCAGATTCTTGGATATAGGAGAGATGGAAAAAAAAAACCAAAGCATTGGACAACTGAATATGATTTCTTCCAAGACCTGTGTTCAATACCTTACAGTAACTAAAAGAGATGTCAGAAAAATGACACAAGTGAACAGTGAACACATACCCAGAAGAAGAAAAACATTCATGTCCCACTAGGTCAGCCTGTTTGTTCACCAAGATGCAAATTATTCCACACACACAAAATGATAAAAATGTAAGCAATTAAACCAGCAGTATTTAATAATTAATATTTGAGGCTTTGTGAAGAGACCTTTAAAGAACTTTCGGCACGAAGAAACAAGAATAGTAGTTAGCAAGAGACACAGCAAATCATAGAAGCAATCACATCCATAAACTCAATAAATGTAAAAGCACAGTGGCGAGAAGAACCTGCCCCAAGAACCCTAACAATGCAATTAGACTCCTCTTGAATGGATTTGACAGTAGTGCCTTGTTTCCCAATCAAACTTCCTGCTTGAGCAGCTGGTAAAAGCAGTCTTGTTGAAACCTTCCCTCCTAAACCTGGCGCAGGATGAGAAGGATCATTTTCCAGTCCATCCACCACACGTGCGTGCACCCTGAGAAGACCATTTATAGCAGGCGGAAGAGGAGCACTAGGCTCTTCTTTGGCAGATACCATTACCTATCATAAATGAAGTTGCGTGAGCAAACAACTTGCACAATTACCTAAGCAAAATTTCTCGTCTACTTTTTCACAAATTAAAGAACGCATTTTGCAGTCCACAACATCTATGTTAAGTTATCACCAACGAGAAAGGGGTGAATTTCCCTGTTAATGTGCTTGATATCTTCATATGAGACAACAGAAGCGACAAAAGGCATGCAAATGCCAACCTTAACGTGAAACAACTTCATCAGCATCACCATTCTAAGTATAAATTGCATATAAATTATTTCAGTAATTGGATTAGATAACATATATGAAACCAGGTGGGAAATCTAAGGATTATATTGCAGGTCATATATTATTACCCCATCAGTACAAGTAGCTTAAGAAGCAAAACACTCTTCCTCTTACTGAATGCAATATGGGAGATGAAAAATAGTCAGATTATTTACACCTCTACTTTGCCAATATTCACTTAGTTAATGATTTATTTCTCCAGTCGGCAGGAAAACTAAATGTCGTTTGGTTCCAGATTCAAAGGATGCAGTATGCCATCTCTAGATGTGACGGAGCTGACTTTGTGGATAATCAGTAGGACAGCAGACAACTGACGTGGAGAAAAAATCAAAATAAGTAAATAGATCAGGAGACATGCTTGCACCATTCTAAGTGACTACACAATTTCAATTTTCAGTCACTCTTTCACATGACAAGGAGACTTCTAATACCAACTCATCATGCCGCCATCTCCTTAATCCATGCATTTACATAAATATGTAAGATTGGTCCAGTGCGTGTTAGTCTCACTGACCTATAAAACCACGAATCGTTTGAGACTAAATTTATCTGGAGAACTCCATCCATAAGGAATCCTCTTCATAGACTCTGAATGTTATGCTGCATACCTGCAATTTCATAACTCTTCTTAGAATTGGCAGCTGATACAGCATTGGCATCATTCTTGAAGGTCTATCGTCCGGTTATTAACAGGCCAGATAAATTTCATTCCTTCCAAACTTAAGAGGGAAACAATTTAGACCCATTATAATAATTGGTTATTGCAGTTCCTTTCAATCCTTACAAGTTTCGAAAGAAGCACCAAATTTTAACTATTTTCATAAATCCAATTCCAGGATAAACCTAAAGAGCGCCCGTATACACATCATCATTATCCTCACCTGGGAAGGCATCATAAGCTCTCAAATGTGATTTAAGAGTGAACCATTGATCAGCCCCCATTTTGTTAACTCGTCAGAACTCTCCATGTATCCCATATATGGCAATACGGTATATAGTTATGAAAAATCCAGTACAGTTCAATTAGACTCTATAATAATACCCTCAGCTACATTGCTAAAACATTCTTTATGGAAGGGAAGTGGCCAAGGAGTATCTATAGAAGAACAGTGGTTGACATTGGCTCCCTTCAGAATACAAATTTGAAAAATCATGAAGAACTTAAAACAGCTGTCACCACCTTACTTAACAGTCCTCAGTAGCCAATTTTAACTTGAAAACCCAGTGAAAATGATAACGATCTCAACACATGCATTTGCATGTGCAGTTGTCATAGAATCATGCTTTAATATCCTTATTTATTACATTAATTTGGTTAATCCGTCTCATAAGAAATTAATATGTTCCAAAATTTAAAGCTGAAATCTTCAGTGTAGATTTGGTCATGCACCACCACCATACATTTGGAGTTCATCATGTACTAATGCCCACCTTATTCGGTTATTCCTATACTAAAGTTGTATGTATCCAAGGGTCTTATTTCTTAATGTTACAGAATAACTGAAGGTTATACTATGAACATGTAAATGGCTGTTGTATAAAATGCTGTTTGTGATTTAAATAGAAAGTGAACTCATGCTTGCAAAGCCACCTCACATTCCCCTAGCAGGCAATGTCTCTGATTCAATACCATAATTTGCAAAAATCAGGTATTCTATACTCTCCAAAAAAATGATTAGAAAAATAAAAAATAAAGAAAGTGCAGCTTGAATTGCACTACGTAGCAGCCAAAAAATTGAGAATCGTGAAAGCTTTCATATAAAGAGCTATCTATCTGGAGTCATAACCGAGCATAACACTGAAATTAATCAAAGTTAGTATAGGAAAACAAACTGAGCAACGAAACAAAGAAACACAAGTATAGAAAGGAAAGCAAAAATCAACACACTAACATTTACTTGTTGCGTCTACGCAAATCTTAAGTATTACTTGAATAAAAAAACATACAAACCTAAAATATGAACAAAGAACTTGTCCATAATAATCTAAACACAATCACACATACTCTCGGCCATAATAATTCAAATCTACACACGCATTCAGTAAGTACATACCAGCATCTTAGTAAACACAACAATATCAAAATGAAGTCTATGATATGTCACATGGATGGACACATTAAGTTCGTCTGAACACCGCAGTCCGCATATGACTTTTATAACATTATACACTATGTAGCCACACTTCAGAAGTGAGAGTGATACAGAACTAAAGTGACTGCCAAAGTAAGAAGCTAACAAATCTCTAACTCTAACAATCCAGCCTTTGAAAGTTATTAAGAAATGAGTGACAAAACTGACATCACAACTAACATACATAAGGAATAAAACATACAGAGAACAACATGCCAAATAATGAATCCTATACACATCCTTTGTTAAACATGACAAAGCACTATTTGGAAACACACCAAACTGTTTACTTACAGCTCTTTCTCTCATTCCTGGAGGACCATCAAGAATTTTAATCCGAGCTTTAGTCTCTTCACAAGTTTTCTTTATGTATTCTCCTTTGCGTCCAATTATACTACCAACTTTCTGTGCAGGCACCAATATCCTGAAAACATTCTCTCCAGGCCAACCTGGCCATTTGTCAGCAACTCCATCAACTTTTTCATTGACATGATTCTTTTCTTCAAGACCGACATTCTCTGGTATTCCTTCTTCCATTTCGTGTTTGTTTTCTTCATGTTCAGGTACATGTTCAAGTTCATGTACAAGTTCATTTTCAATTTCATGTTCAATTTCAGGTGGACACTCAAGTTCATGGCCTTGTTCAGCTTGGGTATGATTCTGATCAATTTCAGCCATCAAATCTCTACTGAAAAGTATATAAGACATAAATACATGAGCTCTGAGTAAACTTGCAAACAAGTGTCAAAAGTTACAAAATTTACAAATCAATCCTAACAGAATTCCTATGAACAGCCATGTTAACTATCCAACAACTCAGATGCCAATGCAACGAGATACATTGAGGACACACCATTCAAATTGTGATACATATGAAGGTGACACAATATTTTAAGCGAAAACAATACAAGTTGAGTGTGATGACAGTAAATGTATGTTGTGCTTCTGCTAGTGTGCACATGCAATGAGATTATGCAGGCGTGTTGCATTCATTCTACCAAAAAGACGACTGTTGGAGCAATTTGGGAAAATGATTGGAAGTTAGACCACATAGTGTGAGTTAGCGGGCGAAATATTTTCTAAAATTTGCATTCAAACGACTAGCAGCCAATTGAGAAAACAGAGAAGCAGCAAAGTCACATTTCATCAAGACAAGTAGCCAACCTATGTATAAATTAATAAATAACATCATAATTCTACAATTCACTTCCCTTTATCACCCTTAATCATAACATACCTTCATAATAATATATTATAGCATAATAATATTATAGGATCAAAATATTAGCATCGGCGCCCAGCCTCCAAGATATTATACAGGGATACTAGCAAAACTGCTACTTTCACTTTATTTTTGCAAAAATGCCACCTTTCCTCGTAGCACGAACACCATTGTATGTCGTTTCAGTCATGAAAGACAATTGTGGCACTTTTGCATACACAAAGAGAAAAGGTTGCATTTTTGCAAACACAAAGATAAAAAGTTCACATATTTGCAAATTTCCTACTACTATCTTTAGGCAAGCTTAATTTCAAAATCACAAGTTTCAAGTGCATTCAATATCGCACTTATCATTAAAGGCAGCAAATACACATTTTCATAAGAGACTTCTGCAAAAATGCCACCTTTTCGCTTTCCCATAAAAAAAATAGCACTTCTTAACACAAAGACAAAAGGTGCCATTTTCGCATGTCACTTTTGATAAGCATGCATCTAAAACACAACAATCCCACATAATGTGTGGCTAGAAGAAGCTTGTCGCCCAAAACTTTAAGAATATTTGAAAATTTTCAACTCAAGCTAAACCCGCACACAAAATCAGTTAAAGCAGATAACGATAGACTGAATTGACAATTCCCTGTGTTATCAACTTGGGCAACTAACAATAAACTGGATTGAGAATCTGCGGCCCATACGCACAAACACATGAATTCGCACAAGTCAGTCATTGCACTTGAACCCCAATTTTCACACACCCGCGAGGGAAAGGAGGTTGGGAGAAAAGCAAACAAGCACAGAGCCATGAAAAATAACATGTATACTCACATTCTGGCGGTGAATAAAAAAGAGCAGCAATGGGGTTTATTGGAGAAAAAAGCGTGCTAGGGTTTTTGCTGAAATTGCAGTGCAATCAATCAGGGTTTTTTTAGGGAACATTGGTTAATCTGTTGGGTGAGATATTTATATTATCTAATCTGATTTTGGAGCCACCCCAGTCCCACCCAGTTCCGGAAGAGACGGCGGGGGGACTCTTTCTATATTTACATTGAAGTCCTCTCTAAAATAGGATATTTGAAATTTCATCAATTCTAAATTCTAATCGAGTTTTAGGCATTGTAGACTCTAGAACATTTTAATGATATTAGTGAAATCTATATCTATATCTATATCTATATCTATATATATATAATAAGAATTATCAATTACTAAAAATAGTAGTAAAAAATTTAGAAATATTTAATGTATATCATTTTTAGAAACTTTTTAAATATATGCATTAATTGTTTTCATATACACGTTTTCAAATAAGATCAAATAAGATATGATCAAAAAATTACTTAAATAAATTTATTAATATCTGTAATATTTTCATTGATATTTATTATAATAAATTACAAGATTTATTTCCCGTGATTAATATTGATATTAATTTGGTCAAAATAAATATTATTTTATTAATATTTGTAATACTTTCATTGATATTCATTATAATAAATTACAAAATTGATTTCCATGATCCATGTTGATAATATTTTGGTCAAGATAAATATTACACCATATTTTAAGTTCTAACCATAATATTACAAATATTCACTTTTTATCTAAAAATACTAGTACAGTCCCCGTGCGATGCACGGGGTTTATTATCTCCGTCCCTTTTATAAAACAATGTTCAATTAAAATTCAAAGTACTTACTAAAGGAAAGATCATGCCATTAATAATAAATAAATTAATAAATACAATGATAATAAAATCTATATATTATTGAACACTTCCTTATATACAACGTGCATGGTTTGATTTTTTGGCACGTCATCGTCGCTACAAATTAGGACTTTCAAACCCATTTCTGTTTGTGACACGGGAGACAACAACATACAATTGGTCATGACTAAACACTGGTTTATTCAGAAAGAAGCCCACATGCGATAATAATTGTTTCTTACTCTTATTTATAGTCATAGCGTAAGAAAACATAATGGGAAACAACCAATCCAATAACATCTACAAAAATATAAGAAAATGCATCATATTTGAAATGTATAACATATAAAATGGTTTATTACTGATTTTAAATTAAAAAAAAATCGAAATAAGAAATAAACAAAAAAGTTATAACGTACCAAACAACATGACTTCATCAATGTTACGATCATCCATTAAAGTTAAAAATAGGAAAATCACCCCTCCATTTGATAAATCACCCCTCCATTTGATAATTTTGGTTTGGCTATTGACAATGATCCTCTTTTTTCCTATCGTCGATTTATGGCTGCCAATATTGCTTTCCACTTAATAGTTTGTCAAGATATAAGCGCCACCTTCTTCAATATCACCGATGATTTTTTGGATATTGACAGGTCGAATTATGCCAGTAATTCGTCCTCCCTAAAACAATGCATAATGAATAATTAAATAAATAAATTATAAAAGATGTTGCATAAAATGATGTATTTAAGTAATACTAAGAGAATATATCACCTCAAAATCATAAAAGATAATCTCAAGAACATTTCGGTAATTGCGTACGTCTTCAACTCGTTGGAACATCCTAATTATGCGTAGCTTAATTGGTGGCTTATTGGATCTTTTGATATCCTTGATTACTCCAACATCCGAAGCCATTTTCAATGGTGATGTAAAAGCCTGTAGAAAAAATTGTTCTGTGGGATATATTGGATGTCGAATACTTTTTGTTCAACGTTGATGATGTTTATATAGTCATGTGTATGTGCCATATGTCTGGGAAATAAAAAAAAATATTTACGTAAGGTATTTAATATGATCTGATCCAATTCTTTTTTATTATGATTATGATTGACTTCTAAAAATATGTGGTATCGGTTTTGTTATAAAAAAAATGTGGAACGTGATTCACTTGTGAAGGACGAACGAATATTTAGAAGATTATGTAGCTAAAAATAATGGAATTTGTTACAACGAAATTTGGTAAGACTTTTTGGATAGATTGAAAAATAATATTTTTATTTTGGTATTTTCCTATTTATTTGGACAAATCCATCATGCCTTAATATTCCAAATCAAACCTTACAAATATGGTATGGTTATTTACTATTAACATTTTATTTTTTTCAAACGTCTGATTATCTTAGGTTTATATGAAACAAAGTTCAATTAAATAAAAATTGATTTTTAAGCCCACACTAAAACTTTATCAATATGATATGTTTATTTTTTTATTTATTTTTTTTCAAATCCACAACTCAAATATTCGAGAGAGAGAAAAAAAAGAAACAAAATCTTATCAAACCTTATCAAATTTTCGAGAGAGGAAAAAAAAACAAAAAAAATTAGAAACAAAGTCTTATCAAACCTTATCAATAATGAAGATACGTGTTTCCATGAAAAGCTAACAAAATTCCGTGGTTATTAAAATCCTATCAAATTAGTTAACAAAATCCCATTAAATTGGTTAACAATATTGGAACGCATTTTGTTAGGAAAGATTTACGTAATTTATCTATCTAATTAATATCATATTAACGTGTGGGCCCAGTGATATTAATTTAGTATACATTTCATTATCTCGGAATAATTTTTTGTTTCATTTACAGCATTAATTTGAATGAAAAAAAAAAATTGTAATTGTTGAAATATCTCAATTCAAAATCTCAATTTTTGGCATAATAATCTTCAAATTTGTTACCAATAAAAATAGATTCCTATGGGATTAATATTTAAAATGAATTAAATTTTGGTATAAGAATTCCAAATTTGTTACCATAAGAATCTTCAATTTGTTACCATAAGAAACCCATAAAAATTTCCTATGGATTGGAGTTTATCAATATTTAGTATAGCATCCATTATTCAAGGAATAATTTTTTGTTTGATTTACAACATGAATTTGAAGGAGAAAAAATCCGAAATTGTTAGGATATTTCAATTCAAAATCTCAATTTTTTGTCATAAGTATCTCCAATTTGTTAACATAAGAATCTCATAGAAATCTCCTATGGGATTGGAGTTTATCAATAGTTGGTATAACATCCATTATTTTTGGAATAATTTTTTGTTTGATTTACAACATTAATTTGAATGGAAAAAAATCCGTAATTGTTGGAATATCTCAATTCAAAATCTCAATTTTTTGGCATAACAATCTTCAAATTTGTTACCAATAAAAGTAGATTCCTATGGATTAATATTTAAAATGAATTAAATTTTGGTATAGGAATCTCCAAATTTGTTACCATAAAAATCTCCAATTTTTTTGGGATATCTCAATTAAATTTGTTACCATAAAAATCTCCAAATTTGTTACCATAAAAATCTCAATTTTTTTGGTACATGTGTTTTTTTCAAAATTTTCACTAATAGTAAGTCAAACCATTTATTTTTTAGTCAAACTTACTATAAAAGTATTTTTCCAACAACCTCTTTATATTACTATAGATTTATAAAAAATCGTAACAGGTTAGATAGAATGTATTTTTTCCAAGTAATCAGACAAAATCAAGTTGGTGAATTAATCTTTGTCAATATTTTTTTTTTCTTAAGCTTTATTTTGTTAAATATAAAAAATAAATTGTTCTTCAGATTAATATAATATACCATTTAAGAGATAATGACCAGATACATTAAATAATACTAATGGTAAAAAAATTAAAATTAAAATATATTAACTATTTTTTAGAATTTATTTGTATATTATTGGCACCCGTGATTTTTGTTATTTTATTTTTTTATTTTGATTTATTTCTATAATTAAATTCTTGTAAAATATATTTTCATTGTAGAGTATGTTAAATAAACTATAAATCCTTATAATGCGAATTAGAAAAATCTTGATCATATAAGGGATTGAATTTTTGACATTTTCTAAATCAAAACTGTTTAATTAGTATACAAAATTAAATTCTAAAAAAACATGTGTATATTTTGTAAAATATTTATACACTATTTAATTTTAAATTTATTCACATATTTTAAATTGATTACATAAATAAATAATACTAACCAGCATTAAATATTTTTCATTACATAAAATAAAAATAAAAAGAAGACGTACAACTTTTATAACTATATAAATAATAATGACATTATATGACAACAACGTTTATAATAAAATAATAATTAAGTATTATATGGTGAACAAGAATAAGTAAAATTATTATTCTCTCTTATATCAAGGAATAAATATATATATTAAAATCAAATTTATAATAGTATAAATGTGTTAGTGAGATAATATATTAATTATTTTACAAGCTAGCCATAATATGCTCATATTTAATGTTTTGACTAAAAAAACAACGATGATTAAAAGAGGTGTAAAATAGATTGTAACCTTATTATTTATTACACTTAACGCTGATTATAAGAGGTGAAAAATAAATGATAACTCTATTGCTTTATATACTTAAATGGACAAAGTCTGTGAAAATAATTCATTTAATACTTTTGTCTCGTGCATCGCACGGGGTACGTACTAGTTAAATAGTATGAGTTGCTTACAAATTTTTAATGTTGGGGAAACATGCTAGTACAACTACCCGTGTTGAATTAGAAAGTTTTTGTAAATTTTTTTATTTTTTTTAAAACTAAAATAATTTAAATTTATATAAAACATTACTATGAGTTTTAATTAAATTGTCAAATTATATTTTTTTAATTATAATAATTAAACACACGTACATTAAATGAAAATTTCAACCCGTGTTGAATTTTTTTACTTATATCATATAAAAATATCGATATTATTTACTATTACATAAGTACAAAAATATATATTTTAAATAAATAGAAATAATATGGTGATATTTATATGCATGAGTGTAGAATATATTTATTTAATATTAAACAAAATAGATTAGTTTTTTTACTTAATTAGACGCCTAATACATCAAGTATCGTATCAATCGTGCTTCACAGTTTTTTAACTTTATATGTAAATTTAGAATTTATATAAATAATTATTTATTTTTATTAATTGACAACATACCAATTAGATTTGAAATAAATATGATTTTTTAAAGAATACATACCAATTTCTATTACTTTATAATATAATTTATAGTTTTATTAGATATAATTTAATTTAGTCTGATAAATAAATTTAAATTTTATTTATAAGGATATATATTACTATTTTGTATTATATATATAAATAGTAAAATACAAACGGACTTCATAATATCAATTCAAATGCAACACACTAATTAAGATTTTTTTTTTCTTAACAATATTAACCCTATTTAATGGATGTTATGGGAAACGACGGAGATGAGATATGAAGAGACACTGTGTATTAGATGGAGGGTTAAAAATGAAAAAATATGAACAAAATATCTAAAACGACATTTATTTTATCAATGATCAATTAAGCCAAAGTGACAAATAATAAAAATAGGAGGGAGTATATATTATTATATATTTTAGTATGACACATGTTACTTGTGCGATTTATATGTGTTATATTATAATAAATTTTTTACCTTATAACATATAACTACATTAAACATAAATATATTAATTGATAATAATTTTATTTTTTAATTAATTTTAATAAATAATTTTTGTATTATTATAAAGATAAATATAACTTATTTATTTTATATATACAATATGGATGTCAAATCGAAGTTCGTCAAAAGCTGATTAATTTGATATATTATATATGTAAAAGTGATAAGAAATATAAAAGTTATCAACTTTTAAAATATATTTTCAATTCAATGGTTATAATAGGAAATGATATTAAAATACAATTAATATAAATATTAATTTATATCCAAGTCTAACTCCAAAGCATGATTTTTTGCCAAATAGGATTTCGATGCATGAGAGTTTGCCACGTAGGCTCAGAGCATTCTGAAATTATATATAGATACAATAATATAAATATTAATTTATATTCAAGTCTAACTTCAAAGCATGATTTTTTGTCAAATAGAATTCCGAAGCATGAGAGTTTGCCACGTAGGCTCAGAGCATTCTGAAATTATATATAGAGGGGATTTTCATTCATACCTTTAATAACTATCGTTTTATAAAGATTCAATTTTAAATTGAACTCAATTTTGTTTATAAAGGTAAAAAAATGTTCATAAACCTAACTGGAAATTGTTCTATGTAGGGTGAGATTTATACAACAATAAGCCGTTAAAAACTCGCTAAGTGGGGTCAGCTATATGAATTACATGTGGTCATCGTGCTTGATCAAAACACATATTTCATTCAAATTTAAATATTTTAAATTATTTTTTATTATTTTCTTCTAAGTTTTCCTAGGTCTACCCTCTCCCTCTTTTAATTTGTGTCTTAATTCTAATGTTTCTAACCTTCTCACCGGGTCTCAAATTCTCTCATACGCACATGTTCAAACCATCTCAATCGTGATTCTCTAATTTCTTCTCTATGGCGTTACTCCAACTTTATTTATAATACTTTCATTTCTAATCTTATCTATATGCCCACACATCCATCTCAACATTCTCACCTATGTCACGCATTTTTTTTTTTTATCATTTTCATATTTAGTAGCCCAACATTCGAAGCCATAAAGCATTTTCGGTTGAATGGTCGTTCAATAGAACTTACCTTTCAAACACACTGGTACTTTACGATCATAAAGTATAGACGACATACTCCTCCACTTGTTCCATCCCGTTCGAATTCTATGTGTTACATCTTTTTCTATGTGTTCAATTCATATTCTCCAATTTTAACATTTATCCCGTTATACTCATTTGATTACTAAAATTAAACTCCATATACTTTGTTTTGACCCTACTTATTTTGAAACTTTTAGATTCAAGGTCTCTCCCCATGTTTTTAACTTAGAATTTACCACCTTTCTCGTCTCATCTACTAACACTATGTCATCCGCAAACAACATGCAATCAGTAACATCCAATTACAAATGTGTCGTAAATTCATCAATTATAATGCAAAGAGATACAAACTCAACGTCGAACCTTGATGCAAACCAATAGTGATAGGCAATTCAACCGATATCCCTATCGATGTCCTAACGCAAGCTTGCACATTATTATACATATCTTTTATGAAATCGATAAAAATATAATCGAACCAAATGTTATTGGTTTGCTCGGTTCAGTTCAATTCATTTCGTTTCTCAATAACTTTTGTCATATTTTGACGTTCGACTCTTAATGTATATATACAATTCGAGGTAGAATGCAATAATTATACTGTTAGAATATAACAATTTCCAATTCTTGATTCTTATAAAAAGAGCTCCAATTAACCAAATTCATAAAAAAGATGTAGAATTTAGTTTTCACATTCATGTCTAAGATGACTAATATAATAATTTCCCTAACAAATGTATTCATGTATCTAATAAAAAATATCAACATTTAACAGTTTTTCATGTCTAATATAATAATCTCCCCAACAAATGTATTCATGTATCTAATAAAAAATATCAACATTTAACAATTGGAATTATAAATACGGTTCATGATATTCTATTGTTAAATTATAAATACGGTTCATGATATTCCCTATATATAATTCTCGAAAGTGTTGAGTCTAAGTGGCAGACTCGCATGCTTCATGTCCTGTTTGTCATAATTTTATAATTTGAATTGATACATAGTTAGGTTCGGATGTTATGTCAAATGTTAATTAAACATGGTTATTTCTATAATACATTAAATATTTTATTTTATAGAAACAATCATTATTTATTTTATTCCTTTTTTTTTCATAGTTATCCTAATACTTTCTTTTTATTATATTATTTGTCTATTACACATATTTACTTAAATCAACTATATTAATTTATTGTTCAACATTTCTCTCCAATATTCACATATGACTCATTTGGAAGATGAAGTAATATGATATTATTTTCTTAAAAATGATATTTTTTTAAAATTAAGTGGTATGTTGGTAATCTTATGAAAATAAATAATTAATTTTCCAAATTTTAAAATTACTTAATAAAGTTTAAAAGATATATAGTTTGACATCCACATTCTAAAATTATATACATGTGTTTAACTATTATGATTGAAAAATATATAGTTTGACAATATAATTAAAACACAATTTATTATAGGTTTAAAAATTAAAATAAAAGCTTTATATTTTTTATATATGATTCTGAATTAAACACCCACAATTTGTACGAGTAATCAAATATTGACAATGACCTTTTAATTAATTAATTTGCCAAACAAAATTGGTTTATTTTTTTTTGGCTGTCCACAGCCTTTGGAATCCTTTAAAGCGGTTCTTAATCAATCATTAAATACAAATCCCAGCAAACACTTCAATTCAATTCAAACAATCAATCAAACACTCGCCACAGCAATCACCTGCACAGAAAAAAGGGGAAAGATGGTGAGCAAAACAGAGGAAGAACAAGTGAATAGATTGGAAAACCAAGTGGAGAATGGGGGAGGCGGCGCGTGGGAGTACCTCTGCCTCGTCGGAAAGCTCAAGCTTCGCCGGTCGGACAGGGTCTTGAAATACGGCTGCTCCATTCTCAACGACCCCAAAAAGCGATCTGCACTCGGCCCAGAAGGTATATTTCTTTCCTTTATTTTTTCTGTTCTATTTTTCGAATCTCTCTTTTGAAAGTAGATCGAGATTTTGGGATTTGGGATCCACAGATATTGTATGCCGCATATTCTGTTTTCATGGGTGAAACTCGGATGGATAGTATGTGGGTTTTAGCTTAGCTTGTTCAATCACAGGTTAGTGTCCAAAACTAGCATAGTGTGATGGAGATTTGGAATTGGAGAGTAAATTGGCAATAAAATGACGCTTAGGCAACCTGTTCTTTTTCCTCTCAAGATCTTAGGACCTGGAAGTTTCTCAATTTTACAAACCCAAATGACTAAAGTTAGTATTTTTATTCTAGTTGATGGGCTGCAGTTTGTTTCTGGGCAGAAATATCTGAGCAGTATTTGCTGGTTATTGTTAGCTCCAATGAGTGCAATGTATCCCACCATGTGTGTGTGATGGAAACCACCCACTTGAGCGTTGGAAAATTCTGACTGGAAGGCAGTGATCTGTCTAGTTCATCTTAGTATGACACGAATTTTAGTGGTTGGGGGTGCTGTTGCCTCTGATAAAAATAATTTTGACAAGTGATTTGTAGCTTCGTTACAATTGTTTCCATGGTCAGCTGCGGATTTACATCTTAATTTGATCCTATTGTATGATCATTATTGTTCTGTATCATTTATTGATCACTTGATTAATGCTTGCAGTTGTAGATTTGCTGATCCGATCGATATTATTTGCTAAATTGGTTTTTACTCTGTAATCTCGTAATTGCTTTGGTAATAATCCAGTCATGGACAGTTTGCATATATTGCATTCTGTAGTGGGTAGACATTAGTTTTCCACAATGCAGAATCATGATTGCGCAACCCTTCCCGATATATCTTACAAATTGTTAGATTCACCTTTTTCCTTCTGATTGATGTAGAATGGACTTTATATGAGCAAGTTGCTGTTGCAGCCATGGACTGCCAACGTCTTGATTTGGCTAAGGTGGAGGAATTCCTTTCCTTAATAATTTGTTTTGTCATATTTCTTTTTGTTTAGTAGTAAGTCTTAGTCAGCACATTTTGCAGTGTTCCCACCTCTTTGATTTTCTTTTCTTTCAACTCATCTGATGTACTCCTTCTGGTCCATAGTTCGTTTATGTTTTGCTAACATAAGACACACCAATATTCTATGGGTCGTCTTATTACAAACAAAAGAGTTAAGAGTTGAAGTGGCAGAGGATAGAAGCTGGTTAAAGATATGAACTTGTGATGAAACGCACAGGTGCACAGAAAGGTTGAACTCATTTTGTGGTCTGTGGAAGCCGTGAACTTGTGATGTGGTACAGAGAAAAATTAAATGTGTGCATGCATATGTATTTTTGGATTAGTATGCATTGTATAGGCAAGATTGGGGACTTGTGCTCTCATTTTTCTGCTGTTCATCTGCTATTCAATAAGTTCAAGTTTTTATATGCTGGCCAATTCGGAGCTCCTTGTGATTGATTAAGATAATTTGGAATATGGAGGAAGACTACGTGGACAGCAATGACTGTTGACGCCTATGTTTTTGCCATCCATATTTTTGTGAACTATATCCATTGTATCATAGAAGGAAAAATATGAACTGTATATGTTATTTCCTTTTCTGCAGGAATACGTCAAGATTTTACAGAAGAAATTTCCAGAGAGTAAACGAGTTGGTAAGTGTAACTAACTGATAATATATTGTGTTAATAGTCTCTCGTGTCATAGATCATAGTTTATTCTAACAGATCCATTATTTCAGCAATCGCAGACAATTAAAAGCTATGGATTTAGTTGGTATATTTATTGCATAAGCCAACTATTATGTGCTCTTTCGCAATAGGTGTCTCCATTCCTTTTCCGTGAGCTAGCAGTTAATGAGATTTTTCTATCTTAGCATTTTAAAATTTTAAAACTGTCAAATATTGGTAAAATACCCTTATTTTTCTACTGGACCTTGTTTGGGATCTTCCGAAAATGAAACAAGTCTACATATAGGTAGTTATGGTTGGAACTTGGAAATAAACTGATTATGTTCGAGTTACAGAATCTAGTTTATTTTTAACCAATCTGCTGTTTTTTGGAATCTTACTTAAGCAGTTTTGGCTTCATAAATGTTGTTTTCTTCATCTTTGCTTCTGCTTTCTATCATGGTAGCATATATCATGTGTAAATTCATTGCATAGGCTCAAGTCCTATGTTCGTCTATGTTGATGCTTATCATGTTCAAAAGGCTGTGTTTAGCTCCATTTCTTTAATTTTCCAGTCAAGATAGTTGTTTGTAGCTGCTTATTCCTCTGTTTAATTTCTCATTATTCATTGGTTTGGTGTTTAAAGAAATTTTATTTGTTTTCCTTATTATTTTGCATCTACAGGCAGGCTGGAAGCAATGTTTCTCGAAGCTAAGGGAATGTTAGCAGAGGCTGAAAAGGCTTACTCGAACCTTTTAGAAGAAAACCAATTTGATCAGGTAGGTGGATATATATTGCATAATGCTATTTAGTGTAAGAGTAGATGAAGACTCAAATATAAATGTCTTTATTCATCTATATCCTGTTAATATTTGAAAAAGAAGAATATGCATGAATTTATCCCCATATTATTTTGTCAAATAATATGCAGATAGTACACAAGAGAAGGGTGGCTATTGCAAAAGCGCAAGGGAATCTTTCTGGGGCAATTGAATGGTTAAACAAGTACCTTGAAATGTAAGAAAAATAGAAAAAGTGATTATTTAGAGACTTCAAAGCAAAATATTGTTGACTGTTTGGTTATTATCCAGATTCATGGCAGATCATGATGCATGGAGAGAGCTAGCTGAAATTTATGTCTCTCTACAAATGTGAGTTTTTCTTTATCTTTCTATTTTTTTATTGATCTGGGGTGAGAGTGGGTAAGAGGGAGAAAAGTTTCTCGCTAGAAAAATACTTGATAGATGTAAACCCGCAATACAATTTGTCGTTTCATCTTATTTTTTTCCTTTCTTAATCCTTTTCGGTTTTGTTCTTTTTCTTCTCTCTCTATCTTGCTTGCGCTAGGTATAAGCAAGCTGCCTTCTGTTATGAGGAACTGATCTTATCTCAGCCAACCATTCCATTATATCATCTCGCCTATGCTGATGTGAGTAGGAAATTCCCGTTATTCGCCTTAACTGATTAAAGCTAAAACTAAAATTTTCGATGGTGATCATTACTTGTTATTGATGATAAATTATTGTACAGCACTTGGTACTAAAATATTGATCATGAGAAAAAATTGTTCTTGATAGCTATCTGACAAAACTGAACTGATTTATTTTTCCTGGTTCACCAAGGTTCTATATACACTTGGAGGACTCGAAAATCTTCACGCAGCAAAGAAATATTATGCAGCAACCATAGACTTGACAGGCGGCAGGAATCCCCGAGCTCTCCTCGGCATATGCTTAGTAACTCTCTCTCTCTCTCTCACACACAAACACACACATAGTTGATTTTGTTTCTTAGTAGCTATTGAAAACTTTAATAGTGGCTGTGTCATTCTGTGACACACGGTTCGACTGGTGTTTCAGTGTGTTTCTGCTATCAGCCAGCTGGCGAAAGGGCGTAACAAAGAAGATAAAGAAAGCTCGGAACTTCAATCGCTCTCAGCACAAGCACTGGAGAAAATTTATAAGCAGCAATCCCCGGCCAAACTTTCTCTTGTCAGTTCCATGTTGAGAAGATTGAAAGTCTCGTCGTGAATGCCAATGTGTTGTTTGGGTTACCAAAAATAACGACTCCATGATAGGAACCGAAAACGGCTATACTTGTGTAACTTTAAGCTCTCTTGTTTGCAACTAATTTTTTTTGTATCAGCAGACTAATTTGAACTTGGTAGTCAGAGATCAAGATACTTTAGACCAATGCAATAATATTTTTGCCCAAAGCTGAGAATTGAGATATTTTAAGCCGAGTGTATTGTTACATTTACCAGAAGTGATATTTTACATTAATTTTCTGAAATTTGTGATATTTTGTTGATTTTGCAAGTCAATTTTTTTGCATCTTACTATAATCCTACTCTTGCGAGTTTAACAGAAGTGCAAGCATAAAATACAAAGAGCACTGTCAATTTATTTGTTCTTTATAATTAGCTAAATCTCAGGAAAAGCTTTGTAGTTAACGGTTTCGATTACAAAGCAAAGCAAGAATATCGGTTGCACAAGGCTCTGAGCTTCGGTTAATTCACATAAGTGAATTGATTTCATAAATCGTCGAAATTTTCAGGAATCTACAATGTCAGACTACAAAATTACCCCAATTTACAAGATACGGTTGGAGGTAAAGCTAACAACTACATTGAACCAGTTTATATTACAACAGAACAGAAACTGGCAAAATAATGCATTCATGTGTATGCATAACCGGGCATTTTGTCAGTCATTTATCGCAATTTTTTTTAGTTCAGACAAAGCTCAATTCAGTTGCAGCTAGAGACTCGCGTAACGTGACCAGCTCTTGACCTGCACTGCATATGTAAGCAGATGCTTGTCTGCCAGACAAAGTAGCTCCTTCCATGCTGTCTATGTAATCCTGTAAAAACACATGACAAAAGCAATCAATTTTGATTGTAGGATTGTAGTTGCAGCTATTTCTGCTCAATGCCAAAGTCAAGGATTGTGAAATTTCTCATGTTTTATGAAATAACTGGTAACTTCAAATACTACCCGAGTTTGATATACATACAGAAGAGCGCAGATAAGTTCCGAAACTGACAGATTTTTCTTGAGGTTGCTGTGCTCTACAGATTTTTATTTTCACCTGAGGTATCAATAAGAAGGCAGTGTTTACCTGTTTAGTGTATGACCCAGCAAGGAAGAAGTTCTGTATTGGCGTCTTTTGGTCGGGTCTGAAGGGATCTTTACCTGGTCCTTCACGATACAACGACTGTCCGATTTTGACAACTGATGACCAAGTAATTTCCAGACCTCGAGAAGATGGGAAGAGCACTAGGACCTGAGAACGTCAGATCGTCATCAGTTATATTACGTGAAGAAATACGAAAAACTGAGAATGGTAACAAGCTGCAACTGTCTATAAAACTCAAACCACACGACACAACCAACAAA